AAAACGAATCTAGTGCTTCTGAGCTATAAACCGATATAATAGTAGAGAAATGTTGACAATGTCAACATGTTTACAGATATATACTTTATCTAAAGGATGATCTTAAGAAATGAAATTTCCATTTTTTCCATGATGGTTTAATATTTCTTTTAACATCACTATAGTTTACCCAATTCTATCAATTTTAGCTTTAAGCAAAGTCTGTAGTAGCAACTCGCGATTGTGCACCTCATCATTTCATTTCATTCTATCATGTTGCGAATCAGCGCAAGCCTCGAAAGAGATCTGTAATTATACCAAAAATTTATGTTTTTCAATTCAACTTTGCGTTTGCTTAAATCTATCATATATAATTTTTAAAAATCACAAAAAATTCAGCATTAATCTAGAATAGATTTTTATCTGGGATAGTTCACTTCAAGCATATAATCTATATCTAGCAGTATTACTACATTTAGACATTATTCTTATTCTTGGATACAAAAGAGAAAAAAAAGGGAGAAGTGGAGCATAATCATCCGAGATACGAATCTTGAGTAGTGTTTCGATTGTTTCTTGGCTCAATGTAATCGGAAACGGTACTATTTTTTTTTAACTATTGGAACGAAAAAAATTACGTGAAGTAATTAAAAATCGCTTCCATAAAGACCATTCCAAACAACCACATTAAAAATTATTAATTGCATGACAATTTCAATCATTTTTGCAAATAATCTCTCAGGAATTTTACATTTTTTCAACAACCTCTCAGGAATTAGATAAATATAAGTTGTTGTATGAAATTCAAGTTCAGTCCAAAGTCAATACATGTTTGCTACGTCTAAAGCGAATACATTTGTTTCGGTGTAGGTGGGGGAGGGCAAACTAAGATATTACTATCACTAAGGCAACAGCTTCTGACGGCCTGCCTATAAAAGTTAATAAAATAATTTAGAGCACAAATTGAAATGATGAACCAGCGATAACCGAAAATAAGAAAAGATCGAGCACAACATTTGCACAAGGTTCTCTAGTTGTTTTTCGAAAACCCACTTTGGCTTAATTTTCATCCATCGTCTTGGGAAGGAAGAATCACTCAAAGAAAATTAAAACAATTAATTCTGAAGTTGCAAACATAATTTCAAAGTAAACGACATCTAAAATGACTTTTTATGTATTCTAAATCTTTTGAAAAATTTGAATTCATAAGTATTTTGATCATTACTTTTACACGTTACTCACTATGAAAAACTGCAAAGTGTTGTTGATATTTTCGAAAAAGCGATGCACGTTCATATTGAAGTTTGATGTGCGTAATTCGTTCAGAACACATGTAGGTGATTTTAATTTTCTATCTTGATTTCCGAGTTTAAGCGAATGATCACATGAGGACAAACTTTACATAACAGGGTGTATAGTGTTTAAATCAATAAAGCAATAGATAGTCCAGAAACACTTGACAATCTATCTTGTAATTACACGAATCAAAAGTGGTGCTAATGCTCCCAATAGATTAGGCTATTATCATCGTTTAACCGTCGAATAATATGTTTATACTTTTCGAATGCCTTGCAAGCATGTTTTGCAATTTCATTTTGTTTTGGGAATACTGGAATAAAATCCATTAACACTTATACCGTTTATGGGCACATAAAGTGCCAAGAACGGCGAACATAGTGTTAGAAACTTCAATTTTCAAGATTATTCCCCATTCGTAGAAGGAAACCAATGAGATTCTGTAAAAGTTGCCAAAGATTTTTGATGCAAACTGACTTCGAATAATGCGGATGTGACATTTTGCTGCCCTCATTGCCCTCATAGTCATTGCTAGGGCTCGTTGAACGGAAAATGCTTCTGAAACACAATCCACAGGATATCAAGAACGACGGTATTAAACTTCATCACTTTTCAAAGTTTTCTTAGAGCTTGTTAAATTTGGTTTGTTGCTGAAACAGATTTCACAGGATTTTACGAGCGATGAAATTAGACTTGATCGGTTGTTGGGAAAATCTTAAAGCTCGCTCAATACGTCTTGGTTCTGAAACAGACATCACAGGTTATTAATTACACGGGATTGGTTGTTGGGAAAGTTTTAAATCTTCCTGAATGCAGCTTGTTTCTGAAACAGAAACCACAGAATTTTACGAGTAATGAAGTTAAAAATTTTTACCAACAATAGCTTGTATGTCAACAATTCGATATATTTTTGTAATTGATTTCTTTATACTACCAACTCTTCAATACACGTATATGAGAAAGAATTAATTAAAATTCGGATTGAAATGAATCAGTTAATTCTTAAATAAATCCTTTCGCGCTGTTATCACTAGAAAAAATGATACATTTTATTATGTCGTCAAAGAAGAAGAAGAAGAGACCTTGACTAGATAATATCTCAAATACGTAAGCAAAGCAAATGAATGAAATAGAAGCAAGAGCTAAAAGTGCCGTTAAACTTACGTAGAGAATAGTGGTAGAATTAGAAAGTATTCCCCGGAGTTGGCAAGCAGCCAACGTTGCCGAATAATTTCAAATATCAAGTAAATCAAATTCGAATAAATCTATTTTCTCTCATTTCTTTTTTTACAACTCTATTATTTTGTACTTAATCGTGTAAAATAAAAAAAAAAAATTGTCAAGTATTTATAGCTTTTGCAATTTTATTAAAACTTTGAAGTTTGCGGGTGGTGAACTTCTTGCCTCATCGCATATTACGTTCTGTAATCTTATCTAATTTACTTTTTTTGATGCGATAAATAATAATAAGTGTGGAGATTTTCTTTTTTTTTTGCGAAAAAGCAAAGAAAAAATGTCTAAAAAAATCTTTGTTTTCTTGTAATGCTCTTGACAAAAATAAAGGGGACTTTCCATTTGAAATCCATTGCCTTCGGTGACAAGTGTTAAAATCGCCACAAAAAAAAAGAAGAAAAACACGGAAAATAGATAAAATTATCTAATGTGGAATTTTAAATGTCCGCGCGTAATAACATAATGGACGCAGTTATTAATGTTATAATAATTTATTTAACAGTAGTTGTGGTGCTTTTCTTAATAATTCTACCGATTTTATGTACGTACAGCGCTTTTTTTTTTCTTCTTTTATCTAAACATTTAAATTTATATTAATTGCGATTTATTTCTTTTATAATATACATGTTTTCTGACTGATAAAAACGGAATACAAAAAATATACTGTGTACGTGTGTGTGCGTGTGTGTTGTGTGTGCGCTATATGTAATCTTATCGTTTACTTCAAATCAGCCACGAAAATAAACCACTTTTCCTGATAACAAGTCCTCTGTCGACAAAGCGTTATTATTAGTCGGTCGGTTGATGCGATTGTCACTTCAACTGGTTATCACTCGTTTCTGTTAAATTTATCTTTTTTTTTTTTTTTATTTTCCCTCTTTTCGGTGAATTTCAACGTTTTGTACGAAATGTAAACAAACATTTGAACATTTTTGCAAAATGAACGTTGAATTATTTTATGGAGTTTCTCTAATAACGTTAAGTTGTGTTTTATTTCTAGTCCTTGTAGTGAGATGTGTATACTACTATTTTCGCAAATTAGTGGCTGAATTTCATGTTTCACCGAATAATTCAACAAGACACGGTTCGTATAAAAAAAAAGGAAAAGTGTATTAGAATTGTAAGAAATTGTAAATTAGCTTCTTTACCACTTTCAAGCAAAGTGTAACCACATTTGAAAGAGGTCAACGTCTTGAAAACTGGTTTTGTCTGAGCATACTTTCTTTTTTGTACCTACGCGATCTAGTAGTAGCATTTGTTTTGAAATCACTTATATGCATTTATTTATAAAATCCGTTCACGTAGTGCAGTAATAAGTTAAGCAAACATATTCTGATTCCATTTAACAATTGCAATCGTGCTATTGGTATTGTCATCGTTGTATATAATTGTGATATATCGTAAGCAGATTTAGTAATTCTTCTTTGCCAACCGATCTACTTTTAGCATTATGAAGCAGATCTGAAGAAATTTGCAATAGTCAGCTTAAAGATTCCTACTCCTATTTCACATTGAATACGTAGACTGCCAAAAATTGCAAACTTTTGGTTTGTTATTTAGGAAGCTAATGACCAAATCAAAATCCTCTGGAAATTGTCCGTTGTTGCTTTTTAGTTTTTAATATATTCCATTCGGTGCAAATTAAGTCTTTTGTTAAATTATTCTAAATTTAATGAAGACTGCACCAAAATCAATTTCTAAATTATTTGCGGATATTAGTTTTACGTAGCATCGATTTTAGAACGCAGAAAAGTGCGCTATTTTCCAACTTTATTTTCAATTTCGCTCACTGCGATCGCAAAAGTTATACATACGTTGAAGGTAAAGCGTTGCCCTTTCTTTTCATTGTAAACATCATTGCAAATAACGATGCGGAAACTTTGTGCAAATGTAACCTGAATGGAGCAATTGAAAGCTCTAGAAGAATTAAGGTTGAAAAATTTAATTGTGTTTGTTTACCCCTTATCAAGCAAAAATTGCTTAGAGTAGGTTTGCTTTATGCGCGAGCATACGATTTGCGTAATCAATATCTTCAGCAGCTCTAGTGTACCAAAATCAATCAATGTTATATGTTCCATCTGTTTTGAAATTTAACCTGGAGAAATAGACGCCAATAATCCATACGTTCAGCGGATTCTTCCAATTTTCTACGGGGACTCCAATTGAATAAAAAACGTGAATAGTTCAGCATTCTCCGCGTTCAGATGAATTTTTCGTGCTAAGCTAAAAGCACATTGAGTCTGTTAAACCTTTGAATATTGCAAATGGTGTACACATTGGTACATGCATCCCTCGTTTGGCAAAATGCAAGTAATTGGTACTCAGTTAAATGTAAGATAATTGCGAAACTTTTTCTTCTAATTGTCGTAGAAAGAATGTGTTTGCATCAAAGTTTTGATCTTGTAATTCTGTTCTGCAAGAAAAAATCAAAAATCTCTCTACTCTGATATCTCGGTTGTAAAAAAAGGGAACAATTCTCAGTCTCCTTTATTCCTAGAGCGACTTATGTGTCGAATTAAGCTATTAATGGATTTAATGTGTGGAGATTTTGGGTTATTCTTTTAAACAAAGATCCAAAATCGTAATCACGGGCAGAGAAAGAGAGATGGCTACATTGATTTAGTTCTGCACGACAATTAAGGAAGGTAAATGGTTATTCAATGTGTCCTGTAATGCGTAACGAGCAGAAAAAAAATTTTAATACACCTTGTGGTGGGTATAAAAAAACTTGAAAGCTTATGTTTAGTATGGGGCAACCCGCATAAGTTTCAAATATTAGAGGAAGCACGAGGATTAAAATCTCCATATTAATTTTTGCGGTTTGGAGAACTTCGAGAAAAATACATATCGAATATCACAAAAGTTGTTGTAAAACAAAAAAAAAATGTCGGACGGAGCTTCTAATAGTAACAATGCTGAGTCCAATAGCGATAATGAAGACAAGAAAAAAAGAATGTCGGACGGCGCTTCCACTGGGTCCAACAGCGATAATGAAGACAAAAACGGGGCAGTATTCAAAAAGCCCAAAGCTAAAGTTCCTCTTAACGAGAAAACCAATGATAATGATGCCAATACCAGTGCCATTTCACCAATGCACTCAGATAACAGCACCGCAGTGGAAGCTTTAATACAATCGTATCTGGAAATTACTCATGATCAGCAGTCCTTAGACGAGGCCACTAATTATATGTATGACTCTATTTTGGATGATGCTGTTATGGGCGTGTTGTTAGAAATACATCATTTGGCTAGGACTGGTAATTTGGCTGCATTAGATGGCGTAAATAGCGATGATGATGAGGCATCGTCGTCAAGAACTATTGTTAATATGGAAAATCATGACATATTTGGTGTTCCTATTGGTAAAAAACCTATGGATTGCTGCTGTCCTAACTGTGATAGGACCGTAGCGGCAGTACGTTTTGCTCCACATCTAGAGAAATGCATGGGAATGGGTCGATCCTCGGCGCGCATAGCCAGCCGGCGTATTAACGCCGCCAACGCTGCATCTTCTTCGTCCTCGTCTTCGGCGCGCCCGCAAGCAAATCAGGAAAACAAGGAAACCACTGACCCATCGTCTTCAGATAAACGTCGTAAGAAGGTAACACGTAGTACAACGAAAAAAAAATAATAGCCGTGATCAGCTGTGGTTTAAGAATTGAATACTTTCTTTCCCTCTTTGCTTAAAATAGTTCTTCAATAGATTGGTTTTTTAAAGTTCGCAAAGCAACGTGAGGACTGCGCACAAGCCTTTTTTTCTTTTTTTTTCTATCATTACACACAGGTCGAATTCGTCTTACATTTCATGAACATTTATTTCCCTTTTCCATTATTTAGAAGCAAGTTTATATAATAATACAGCAGTAACCAGATCAAAAGTTGAATAAAAGAATCGTTTAACAATTGGTGATCGTGTCTAAATTCAATTGCAAAGAGCAGGTGTATATTGCTTAAGAATACAAATGCATGCACAAGTAGGTAATGGGTTCTATGCTGCATCCTTTCATTGAAATTTAATTAATACAAATTCTTGTAGGTTCTCGAAACTTGCCGACTTTTGTATTGATTATTGTGAAATTTCGAGAAGATGTAGATTTAAGATTTGCAAAAAAGAATATGAAATGAAAAATTTGGAAGATTCAAAACATTTTCCATTCCCAAATTGTGTCAACAATGAATTTCTAGTTTACAGCGTTGCAATTCCAATAAGTCAAAGTAAAAACAAATGTGTTTAGTACGAAACAGGTTATAAGCAAATCCAATCGGGTGTATATCAAATTGTATACCTTGTATGTCTTGTACATTGAAAGTTTATGTACCATCAGCCATTTTTTTTTTTTTTTTTGGAAAGGAAGCGAAGAAAGAATCGAGCTTTTATCGTAAATCGGAATATTAGAACACAATTCTAGATTTCATGTGTCAACAAAGTGGGAGTAAAAATCAACACTTCTACAACACCTTTGCAATAGCAATAAAAACATTGATTTATTAAAATAATTTTAAATTAAATATAAAACTGGGGCAGAAACTATATGATTCGAGTCCGGTCGCATAAATTGCGACCACAATTCATTCTTTCTTTAAGCATTTTGTAATCCACGCAACTCCTAGGTGGATTCACTTAAAGTGTTTAGGTATTAGTGGTTTTATATGAAGACAATATTCGATAAAAAAGTAAGACAGTCACAGATACGATGAAAGTTAATAAGTTAATAAGATTAAACATTCACTTGTCTAGAGTGCGAACAAATGCAAAAACCTTCTAACCTTCTTTTCTCAGTCTATATGCTGACATGTCCGCTTAAGCATATCTTATTTTGATTGAAATCAAGTCAACTCTCACGAGGAGCGACAAACTTTTCTGTTAGAGGGTAACAAAATCACCACATTCTTGCCTGGCATTACAAAATCCATCATTGAGTGGTTGACTAACGTGGTGTCGATGGTATTGATAATTGGGGTCATTTCGACACTGCGCCCCCGGCATGTTATAACTTCTACTTCTATTGACCGAATATAGCATCGGTTCTAAATGCAAAGTAATTATAATTAAATGTAAAGCTTAGAGAGATAGTACGTTTGACATTAAATAAAATAGCAAGTGGTGAATTGCCGAAAAATTAATGAAAATTTCTTTAGGTGAATGAAAAAAAAAAAATGAAGAACCGCCTGAAGTCATCTTCGTATGACGTATATGACGCTACTTCTCTGCAACCTGTACAAAAAAAAAAGTGAACAAAGGAAGTTGCTAGTGATCAATCCATATTAAATTTGCACTTTAAGCTTATGGTGTTAGCCAGAAGACAAACACAACAACATTTATATAGTCAGTGAAACCCCTGCAATGGATAATCATACAGATGATATATAACGGGACCGTGGATATAGACTGCATGATCATCATTGCCCATTGGATATGCAATTTAGCAGTAAGAGGAATTCTTCCCCAATAGCATTCGTAAATAATTTCCTAATAAAATATGGCGACACCTGTCCCACGGGGAGATACTTCTCGTCTCAAAAATGAGACCGAATGAAAAGAAAGTAGAAATTTTGTGTTCAGCTTTTACTTTAGATATCCGTTCACTATCCTCAAACTGCATGAGTTAAATAAAACAATTATTGGACAACATATCATAAACTCAAGTTAAGTAATTGATGTTTTTTGGTAACAAAGCCACGAATAGTAAGCTTTTTTAAATAACTCTGTTCAGTTGTCTTGTGTCGTGTATTCAAAGTTCCGAAAATATCTGTGCATTTTTTATTCTTTATATATATCTGGCATAAAGTCTTACAAATTTTTGGTCATTATAGATCTAAATTTGTTTAAACGTCTTCTTCTTGTCTCTCCTCGTCGTTACCGCATTTTTTTTTTTTTTTTTTGGTTTTTTTTTCTTTGAAGTTTTTTTCTTTTGACATAATTCTCGTTGATGAAAAGCAACGTAACGTAATAAAAGTGTATTCAAAAAGTTAAAAAGAGAAGAAGTTATTGTAAAAATTTGAAAAATTCATAATGTCATTGGTTTTCATCCCAATTGCTATAGCGATTTCTTTATTACTGATAACGGCTTGTTGTATGTGTAGTTTTTGTTCTCTATCTCATATATTATAACATTATTTATTCGAGTTCATTGCACTGTAAGTTTGTACTAAAGTTGAGGAAGAAAAAAGTTACGTTAGCTTTGAGGCGAGAATCCTTGATACCCACAAACTCAAAGGGAAACAATTCGTTATATGTAGATGGGTCAATCGATTTGGATCGGAATCGCACTTTACGATCTAAATAGAAAAAAAATTGATCATCAATATTTCCTACCTACTGACGGTTTCGATGATTGTTTATATATATGTGAGCCAAGTTGCACATTACGTTTGAAACTTTTTCGTTAAGGACATAAGGAAACGTAATCACGTAAAACTTGAACTGTAAGCGTCAAGTCATGAAGTTCTCAACTTGAATCACGATATTTCCAGCAGCCGGGCGAACGAGGGACATATAGATTTTGATGGTTTAGTACAAATCATTCCAGAATTCAACCGTTAAGTCACCTACAAGGTGTTTTCTTTTCATATATTTTTTGTTGTTGTTGTTGTTGTGAAACGTGTGTCACAGGAGTGTAAAGATATAAAATATTTATTTGGTCAAATTTATCGGTTTTTGCGATAGTTACTCCAAGGGACGGAGATTCATTACTACTTTGCTGGACGCAAAAGCTTTTAGTTTAAATAAATCAATAAGTTCCAAAGGAAAACTTTTCAATTTTTTTGTAAATTTTAATTGGCCGTTTTTTTTGTTTTCAGATTTATTGATACAATTGCTGTGTGACATTTTTAGAAAAGGTGACGGCAATGCACGCCGTAATATTGAAATGTCTGGTTGGTATATATTATAACCTTACGATTTCTAACCCGTCGTTGGTAAATTGGTGTTCTTTAATTTCAATTTGTATGACTCACTTAAGATGTCAGGCTTAACAGATATAAAGACTTCATGTTGCAAAAAGAAAGGAGAAAACGCTTGACTTATTTTGAATTTAAAAAAAAATTTCATTTTTTTCTCTTAATTTTAGTCCATCGAAAACGGTCCATCAACTCGCACCTAGTGTTCGCGTTAAATCTTTTTGATATGACTGCTACATGGAACATGAAATTTAAGAACAAGATTTCACCAAGTTACACAATTCCCGACTCATGAAAGCCTAAGCCATTCTGTGTACAACACTCCCATGAAGTTCACATGAATCCGAACCTATATCTGTGATAGAGTTAGAGAATTAAGTCGTGAAAAATAACTAATTTTTATTTCATTTTCATGATTAAAATTTCACCGGATCTCTGTTAAAAAGTTGGTAAGAGGTATTTCAAAGCATTTTCGAAGATTTTGAATGAATTGCTTTCCGTTTTGAAACAAGAAATTTTTGAGATAAATAAACCCTAAGAACCGCTTCGATCGCCAAAACTACGGTTGGGGAAGCAACTTTATCTCAGATTTATCTACTCCTACAATTCTTGTAAGATTAATTTCAACACTAGCGACTAATGGTTCTCCTCAAGTACACTTGAGAAAAAAAATTTTATAATCTTCGTCTGTCTCCTAACTCATAGGCTAAAACTTGCAAATTTTTTTTTAATTTGGAACTTTAAAATTAATTTTATTTCTTCCTTAGAGACCGAAACTTACCTGAATCAGGTCAAAAAATTCACTCATGACTATTAAAACAATCACATATATGAGCAAAGCGCTTTAGATAATACCTTGTAGCTTCTATTTTAACGAAACATTTCAAAACCTTTTGTTAAATTGCGCAAAAATATGTTTTTGAGATATATTCATAAACGATATCTGTATAAACGGACTTTACGCTTCATTTGCAATCGATTATCAATTTAATAATAGGTGTTAAAGCGTCCATCGCAAGTTGAATATAACTTTTCCCTTTTTATATCGATTATCGAACAATTTCATCAAAACGTTCGCAAGACTTAGAAAGAGTCTTCACGGCCCCTACACAGTAAATATATTCCTGATCAATGTCAAGCATTGAACCCTTTTTAAGCACTTGCCTGTCGCTCTGCCTATGTAACGTTTGTGATGAACATTCTTCTAGTCACAAACGTGAACGTAGTCGTTTCAACTTTAGCAAGTCTTTACGCGCAGCCTTGAGAGAAAAATAGGATGCGCCTACAATTTTATTTATATTTCTCATTTCAAGTATGATCAAAAATTTATATATAGATTATGAGGTATTTGAAGCTTGTTTCTGCGCATTAGAAAAGTACTGGAAAAAAATTAAATTTTGATTCACTATAATACTGGGTGAGCGTGTTCAATTATTCCCATTGCATGCAGTTGCTACAGCATCGTGTATAGCAAATGCGTTAATTTTTGTACATTTATCTGCTACAGTTTACGAATAATGAGCGAAAATGAGCGAAAAACAGTAGTGTCTTCAGTTTGAATAGTCATGGAATTTGGCCCATTTGCAATACCAATGTGCGTGGAAGAACTTACTATGTTTCTATAACTAATAAAATAAGGGGAGCACCTATCATAATTGCATTCTTTACTCGTGTAATTTATTTAGGTTACCGGGAATTGCAAAGGGGCGCTTTGCATATGCGTCTTTTGTTACTGTTCTTTCTTTTACAATTTTTCTTTAAATTACTTCTAGCGACTTATGGTATGTGATTAGGAAAGATTATGGAAGGATTATAGGTTTAGGGAAGGGAAAAAAGGAATTATTTCCATACAATTGCAAAACTATTACGGACAGACGGACGGACATGCTTAAATCGATTTAGAATTTGCCGATTCAGAATATAAGCTGATGATGATCAAGAATATTTATACCGACCGTTGCAAACGTTTTGACAAAATCCGTATGCCCCCCTCATCCTTCGGTGCTCGGTATAAAAATACATAATTAAATAGTGCAGCAATCATGAGCTTATTGTCTTTTGTCACCTATCAAACTTTTCTCTTTCTCTCTCTCTCTCTCTCTCTTTCTCTCTTCACACTTACTTCTGACCACTTCATCTTCTCACAGGTCTTTTGTCATCTACTCCGAAATTTATTGGATAATAATGAATTTAAAATCTTAAGTGGTAAATATTTAAACCAAATTTAAGTCAATTGACGTTTATGCAAACTGAATTTTCTGACCATTGCTGGAGATAATAAATCTTATTATACTTTAGCCTTCGGATTAAATTTCAGCTTTATGTGTTAATTTTCTAAAGTGAGTTAAATATTGGTGTGATTAGGAAAAATGTATACTTCGTGGGAACCTCCGTACAACTGATCAATGGCAGTATACTCTAATAGGAATAGCCAAAGGCTTATTCGACTTTTTCGATTCATTTTCCGTTTATGTGGGTGGGGTATGCACTTTTTGTTCTAAAGTGAGTACAACATGCCTCGTAGTTTTTTTTTCCTTATAACGTTTAAAGAGGTGGTTTCTAAATAGCGAAAAGTGTTATCACATAATGCTCTGATATCGGAAAGAGTGGCAAGCCAATGGTAGGATAACTTTAGATATATTTTTACCGTTTAGTTGCTCATTTACCAACGTGAGAACGGGCGTACTTTATTTATAACAAAAACACTTCTATGTATGGAAAAACTGAAACTGATTAAACTCTTTTGATTTTTTTAGGTCGAGTGTAGGCAATAAAATACCTTCAGAACACCTTTCAATATTAACGGAGTTAGAGAGAGAATAAACGAGTTTGCATAAGATCACTGGATCAACTTTGCATACTTCAAATATGCCAGTTACAACAAAACATAAAACCAGACAAACGGACGGACAGCCAGACAAATGTACATCGATTAAGAGAGAGAATGACTCGGTCAGTAGAACAAAAGGTGGGTCTATCTCGAGTTCTTCTGGGTGTTGCACCCATCCGCACAAACTTAAAATGCTCTTAGTTCACAAGTGGTGTAGGGGCTATATAAACCGAGTAGATTAAAATCGAACCGGTTAGGAGCTAAAGCAGCAAAACTTTTCGCTTGCATTCAAGTTGATGGTTTTTCCATGCATTAAAGACGTTATTGAAAAATTTTTCAGCTTTTTTTTTTTTTGTAATTTTAAACAATCTTTGTCGTCGTAGCCTTAGGACCAACAATCTCCATGTAGAGTTTCGTAATAACTTTTTCTTCTTGGTGATTGTTCCTTAATTGTCCTTAACTGTCAATGGCAAAAATCAAAATAATTTTTATGAAAAAATTTGTGGCAATAAATCTCGAATCCAAAGATATTAAGTATATATATATTGCAAAATGCATTTTGGATCTTTTTTTTGAACTTTCAGGTAAATATAATTTGGTATTTTTGCAATTTTTCCTTTATCTTAATACAAATGCGAATAAGTTGTTAAATATTATTTCAGATTTTTAGTCAAATTATCTATGTATATACACACAATCACTAATACATTGTCAGCGGAAAGAATTTTCGTCGATATCGTCTAAAAATCAAATTCGAATTAGTTTTGTGTTAGGATGGGAAAGGAGAATAATCTGAAAATGAAAGCAGATGTAAAGCATTTTTCCTTTGCCTATGGCCATCAAGCTTAGGTCGATGATTAAGAAGGAAAATTGCATACAGTTCACCTTTTTCCACTTTTCGGCATATACATAAGTGCTTTATATCACTCTACCTGATAAGCTCCTCTTTTCTCCAAATCCGACCTTGAATTTATATGAGCCCTTTAAAGATATTAATAGATCAGACAATTTTCTTGTTCTTTTTCTTTTTTGTTATCTGTGTAATTTTATAAGATATATGGACTCGAGTGATGATAATTTGCTGGGAATTTCTTTCTATAGAGTTTCGTTGTAGAGCTCCGAATTGTGTAACCCATTCCAAGTCAATTACGTTCTTATCGGTCGATTGTGGTCGCCGGGAAGAATCGCTAACTAACACAAGGAAATTAAAACGCTACGAAACGATCCTTTAAAATGATTATTCATTTAAGAAAATATCTGCCTTAAATATTCCTAGCATCCCCCTAGCAATCAGCATGAAACGAGTAGAATTCTCAAAAATTCTCAAAAGGTTCTCTAAAGTAAAAAACAAAATTGCTTTAACATGATTAAAATTATGCCCTTAGTAAAAATAATCACATCTCATCTCGGCCGTGTTTCCATTTGGCTAGATGGCCCAAATTGGATTCATATAAGACCGAGAATAGACTGTGTGATGCGATGAATGCCGCTATAGCGAATTGAAATGAGTCAACTTTGTATTGTATATAAGAATAGAAGAATATTCTTCTAAATGAACCCTTCCTCGTATCATTTCATATTGCAAGATATGTTACTTTCAAGTCATCACATTGCTCGTAGACATCAAATAAATGTTTTTAATAAGCTTAACAGGTTTCCTCACCTCGCAGAAAATGATTATAAATAAATGAGATCAGTGGATTTCAAAACTTTTTATTCCAAGTCCTTTGGCTAACGTCTTTAATACACTTTTCCGTTTTCTTTTTTGTATGTTCTTTGTAGACCGTCAAGGCAACGTTTTTACGATACATGACGAAAATAATCAAGTGAATCGATACAACGATATTTTTTACATAGAAACGAACAATGCAGATGCAGCCCGTGCACGTGCTCAACTTGAGAAAGATGATAAAGATTTGCCCACTTATGAGGAGGTAATGCGTATCACATCTGCTGCAAACAGTGCATCTACTTCCATAATGGCTGCGACTTCTACCTCAAATGTGAATACCACAAATACCATAGATTCTACCCTAGCATTGCCACCGTATTCGGCTATATTTTGCAATGACCGGACCGGAGCGGTTAATAGTTGCGAAAGATCAGCGGCATTATCTTCACCAAATGTTGCTTCAACATCAACGGAGCATACCACAATTGCATTATCATCATCGTTAGGCTTTTCAAATACCATCTCCACGCAGACACAGACGGCGGCGCCACCATCCTCATCATCAAATGTATAACGGCGTACTAATGATAAGAACGCACTTGGTTTTACGTAATGTGTGTTCGAGTATATATATATATATATAGATATATACCTATGTCTGCTTTTTCAAAATGCTTAAAACTTAATAATAACAAAATTCCGAATATATATATATATATATATATATATATATATATATATACATACATAAATGCATACATAGAAATATATGTTTATTATCTTCATGTATACATACTTATGAATGTATAAAATATTTGGAAAAAGGTGTAAATATATTTATAACGTAGTAGAGATATTTACAATTTTTAACAATTATTTAATGTAAACGTTTTATTTTTAATCGTGTAAAACATGTTGGGCTAGAAATAGGCTTTATATTTCTAATGCACTGCAGAGAATGAGTGGTCGAGATCTATTTATTAGAAATATGTAGACATATTTTATTATGAAATTCGTAACATAATAAAGATTAATTGCTAAGATTAAAAAAAATAAATAAATAAAATATTAATATGTTTAATAAGAATATCGGCCAAGGTCAGGAAAATAGGGTTTATACATTTCATACCCAGAAATATATCTGTTAGAGACGATCATACGCAACGTAAGAAACTCAACCGAGTCAGATGCATCTGTTTTAAGAAATTACTCATTTACCTGTGAGGTAGGTGGGGATGTGATTTCTTAACTTATTAAGAATGCAATTTTTTCCTTGTTCCGGAAAATTTTGCTATTTAGGCTAACCTCCTCGACTATTCCAAGGCCTCCTTAACTTGCCTATTTATTTCCCTCAATTCAATTTCCTTTCATTAATCAACTGATGTCACTAACTAGCATAAATAGTTCGAATAATAAAGAAAGGGGTGTAATTGATAATAAGGGACATATGGACTAAAAATTAAAATGCCTGTACTTAACTTAAATAACTTATCGTCAGTAGCCGTTGAATGGCTTTCTTTTAGAATATCCCTGATCCGGTACCTATGGCTTGCAATCCCAGCGAATGGTGAGAGATTTTATTTCGGACGTTTGTGTGTTACCTCGGCAGGGCGATCCAGAAAGAGGAGGAGGATATTCAATTTTCTTCTCCATTATGCCTCTGTTCAAAATCCATTCGGTTAGCTGATCTTATTCGAATCATGCCAACTAACTTATTTCGTAGGTGATATTCCGACTCCAGTCCGCTCTTACTTATACAGCATCCTTATAATATTCACAAGAGAATAACAAACTGCTTGCTGTAAAAGGAAATGAGTGGAAAGTAAAATATACTTATCCTTAGGCATAACGTATAAGGATATGTTGGCCGAAAGAGGTCTTGCGACATTGGTCCTTACAAACTAAAGAAAATATGTTACACATCCCAGCCGTGTAAGCATAATTTTAGAACATAGCGGACCATTCATGTTCCATCCCCTAATCATTACCGCAATATGATACAGCAAGCAAAACAATGTGGATGGGGCTTGTCGAACGCCCTTCTAACATGCATTTCATTGAAACGCTTAGCTGATCAAGTTCGATAAAAATATTAATTAAGTCCTTGAACAGTACTATAAGGCTTTCTCAGCGTTTTCACCCACTTGCTCTGGAATTACTTGCATACCGCACAACGCACTACCGAAATTCGTTGCCCTTCAAGCCTACTGCTCGCTCCCTCCCTTTCTTTACAATTTTCTTCCTATAACCCACCGGGCCGCTAAGTATTGCGGCATCCCCTGAGTGATTAGTACTAGAAAGAGGTTTCGAAACGAAACGGTTATTTTCCGCAGCAGTTCACGTTCGAGTCCTAACGATTTCTCTATAAAATTCTCTTAAAAAGGTGTGCACCGCGACATATGTTTAAAAGGAACATTCGAAATTATGGCTCAGGAAAGTATCACAAAATTTTAAAAACGGATAAACCGATATGGATAGAATAACATAATGGTGGGACCAACACACGTGCTAACGTAGAGATGCTGTAGGTAAGGGATTTTAACATTGCTATTAATTTCTCTTTACTGGAACTCTTTCAAACTTTTGCAAGTTCAATCCACAACGAATCCGTTGAAACTCCGTTCCTCACAGGGTTCTAATTTAATTTTATTTCTCGTAATTCTTTCGTCCCAATACAAGAAAAATTATTCTGGATATTTTTGTACTCTACGTCACTTCTATAATATAAGGTCATGTTATGTTTGTGCGCATGTATGCAATGCCTAGAAGAACTTGTGGATAGACCCACATTTTAATATGGGTATAATAGAAGCTTGTTTGTCTGTCTATCGGTCTTGTTTCGTTTTCCTTTGCTCCAGCTATAGGCCATAAATTTGGGACATTTGAATGAAATATGGTATGGAATTTGGTTGGATAGACGCTATTAAAAAATGGTTTGAGTCGGACCACTTTTTCGACCACTCCCCTTATAAAGACTTGTCGTAAAAACTCGTTTTGTGAATAACGAAGCGTTAAAGGGTATTTGGTGGCGCTCCACGTCTCATTGTAGTTTCACTTGATTTCTTTTCGTTTTCGTAATAAGTTGAATAATAAACGATCGTCGATTCAATATTAAAAACTCAAATGCAAGTGTCGTTTTTGATCCTGTTTTTTTTTAAATTGATAAATGATCCGTAAATAATTTAATTTTTTGAAATTTTGCAAATTGCGAAATTTATTTTACATTAAAAACGAATAATCGGCTGGGATGCAATAGCATAAGTTCACTAAGATGAATTACGCAGATTGCATAGTTGTATGCTCTTTCCGAGTAATATTCGGAGATTCTTTGCATGCAAATAGTGTTCTTCGAACAGTGCAGAAAACACTCGAACTTTACATCCATACCCTTATACACTTGTGGTACTAGAAGTGCTTAAACTAAACCCACTTTTTATTACATCGGTCTGTCTATCTAAATTTACGTTCAAACTACAGATCATTGGTTTTGAGATGTTTTGCTAAAATTTGGTATACCGTTATGTTTTGGCTCAAGGACGAATGCTCTTGGAAATGGTGTGGATGGGATTGCTTTCTCGATCATTTCTCATACTACAACTCGTTATGAAAAGTCATCATGTGAATACCTACAAGGTGGGGCAGGATATTTAAGAGTAAGCCATTGCGCGCTATCGCATACCCATTTGTAGCAATTTAAAAATAATAATAAAATAAATAATTAAGTTACACTAACAAAATGTCAATTTTTAATTAAAACTTATTACAAGTGTTAAAGACAACCAAACGAACATTTAAAGTTAAAAGTTTCATTCAATGTATTTTCGATTAAGAAGCAATTTATCCGTTAGATCTTAACAAAAAAAAAAAAAAAAAACCATTCATTTATAGGAATTCATTATCTGATGCAACTCTGCATTTACTCTGTATGTGCTGTTACTTTTAATAAAAATCGTAGTTGGCATTGAAAAAATAAATATATGTTTGTATGTGTATGAGTTTCGTTTTTATTAATCAAAAAACTAAGGGCAAATATTTCAAATTTAGACGATTCGTTTGCATTAAATTGAAAAGTTCCTGCGCGATAGCGGATACGATCTATCTCTTAGCTTTTATTGTGACAAGTAAGTTGAAAATAAAATTTAGATAGAGATTCATTTTAAAAGAGCCTGATGTCTATAACGTCCAACAATACTTAAATTGTTCCCGCATTCCTATGGTTTTGTTGTTTTCTTCGAACAAAGTTTTATTTAGCTTTGGAAAGTTTATAGTAAGGAGGAAGCTATTGCTTACCTTATCTGAATTCCATGAAGTTTCGAAATTAATATAAAATTTTATGACATCCATTGGGAGAAAAAGAATATACTGCCAGATAGTGTCACACACACACACACACACACACACACACACACATCAAACACATATCCTCTGTATTGTATTAGTACAGTGAAGATGTATCATGTACTGCGTTGGATGACTTCTAGAATCAAGAGGAAATAGTCAAAAATAATTTGCTAACTGAAATTCTGAAATTCTCTATTTTTAGTATTTATTTTGTTTTTTCTTCTTTTTTTCTGTTTTTTTCTTAAGTTAACCGTAAATCGATTTCATACGAATCAGTAGTAGGTGACAACAGGGCAACAACGAGACAAAGCAAATGGAAAAGACATACGTAAATCCCGATCTCTTCAATGCATCATTAACTGCTTTAAATCTATGGCGTTCCAGTCGTCGGGTAATTAGAAACTATATGAAATCTACATACACTGTATATACACTGCTGTAAATTGAATTAAGTTTTTATTATTTAATTATTTCATTTTATTTTGTAGTATTGCGATTTTAATTTTATCCTCGAAGATGGCGAACAATTGTATTGTCATCAGAATATCTTGGGTGTCGTATCGCCCTACTTCGATGCCATGTTTAATTGTAAGTAATGCTGCGAACGAAACTTGTCTAATCTTTACATTTACACTTTGCACGCTTTGCTTACCATTGTAGCTGCAATGGAGGAGAAATCGAATAAATCGGCAAAAATGCAAGATATAGATGCAAATGTTTTCCGGCAAATTGTTGACTATTGCTATACTGGTGAAATTTCTTTAAATGAAGATAACGTTAAATCAATATTATCGGCATCGAATTTCTTTCAAATCGATTGGATTGTCAATGAATGTAAACAGTTTTTGGTTAGCAACTTGAAACCAACAAATTGTTTGGGTATATGGAAGTTAGCCGGTCAGTTTATTTATTTACTTGTTTATACGCTTTACTTTCTTTTGCAAAAAAAAAAAAAAACAAAAACTTTTAAATTGTAATTAAAATTTCAGGTATGTACTTCAGTGAAGAATTGCACAACTATTGCCAACAGTATGTCTTAAGAAAATTTAGCATATTAGTCGATGTTAAGGACTTTTCGTCATTGTCGCTCGAAGAGGTACGTTTGCACACTTGTAGCATATAAACAAGCAGAAACATTCTAGCGGGCCACGGTCCACCATAAAATACGCTGCTTCACATTTGAATTATTAATGTAACGACTTTTCAAATTGATCAGATCGATACGATTTTTATTCTTTACCGAATCGTGGAGCGACACTGAACGTGAAAAAAAATTTAATTTAGATATGAAATAATTTCCGCAGAATAAAAGAGATAGAGAGATAAAAGATATATAAAAAATCCAATCCGTACCACACGGATGATGAAGTTAATAGATTTAAAGGTAGAAAGTAAAAAGAGCGATAAAGAATTTGGATTGAGCTGTAAATACGATGTCGAATTGTGCAAAGCACGCGGAACATAGTAAATAGTTCATAGTTCAAATTGTACCAACTTTCATGAAAAGGTCCAACCTGCTTGCCTCTCTTTAAAAGAGATAAGTTAAAACTAACAACTAGAAACACTATTGTAAAACATGGCCCACCATTAAATACCCTACATAACTTTATTTAGTACACTTATCCATATAAGGGCATTTCAAGGCAAGCAGCATATGGGGAGTGTCCAAAAATGTGATCCGAGCCGAACCATTCTCAATAGCATTCGGCCGGGGTCTAAATTCCATCAGTGTACTAAATTTCATAAAAATATCTCAAAGAATACATAACGGACAGACGGGCGGACGAACTTAGATCTGTTCAGAATCTCTTTCGGTATAATCGAAGATGAGTTTACCTCAAATCCTTCAGGTTTTGGCATTTTGGCATTTACAAGAACCTATGCTACTTTTGTGTACCACAAGTGGTGTAAGACATTTTTCTTCTCATTCTCTTGCCTTTTCAGCTCATAAAGCTCGTATCAAGCGATAACCTTATGGTACCTTCGGAAGATTTTGTTTACCAAGCAATAACAAAATGGATAAAAGCTGATTTCACGGCACGTGAATCTCATTTAGCTCAGCTCATTGATCATGTGCGTTTACCGTATGTGGGCAAGAAATATTTGCTTAATCGCATTCTAACTGAAGACGTAATAAAGATGAAGGAAACAAGCTGCGAAATGTTCCCAAAGGAGTCTTCGAATTACAAGCTGTCCGGTAAAAATACCGATGAAACTCAAAATCAATTATTTAAGAAACGCAAAACTATGCGCTGTAATGTGTTACTTGCGGGAGGAGATGAGAACCGCTGCATGGTTTATAATACTTTAACTCAGGAACAAGTTAATATTGCGCCAATGAATGAAGTTAGATGTTATAATGGCGTTGTAAGATTGAATGATACCGTTTATTCAATGGGTGGACTCGACAAAACCGCATTGGAATTGAAGACAGCCGAGTCTTACAATATATCAACAAACAAATGGACGTATATTCCTCCCATGGATAAGGGAAGGGCGGGATTTGGAATTTGCGCATTAAATGGCTTAATTTACGTATGCGGCGGTTATTGTGGCAATAACAGCGTCGAATGTTATAATCCCGCTACGGCCAAATGGGGATATGTCGCAAATTTGACGGCCGCTTGCGAAGTGCGTGCAGTTGTTCTGGAAAATTGCATTTATTGTGTGATCTCTGGTAGTTTTATAGAACGTTTCGATCCAAGGGAGGGGAAATGGTATGAACTGCCAATGGTAGAGTTGCCAAATTCTTGCGGTTTCTTTGATGTGGTTGCTTGTGGCGGCCACTATTTATACCGCATCGGCGGTTTCTCTGATGAGCAAGAGACCTCATTATTTAGCGTAAATCGTTTTAATTTACGCAATTATATTTGGGAAGACGTAGCTCCTATGAATTTTTGCAGACGAGAACACTCTGCGGTGGAAATAGATGGCGACATTTATGTATTTGGCGGTTCAAATGAAAGGGGAAGTATTAGCAGTGTGGAATGTTATAATACCCGGTTTGATAAATGGTCCGCAGTTGATCCAATACAAAAGGAACTTTGTTGTGGCGGGGCAGTGGAAATCCCCTCTGTCGCTCTAAATCATTAATATACTGTGTAAGGATCGCAATAAGCGATTTTTATATCTAATTTTACTTCTCTCGACTATCTATACAATAACACAAAATTGTTAATTATATATATTTTATTAATTAAAATATTATAATTTTGTTTATTTGGTTTTGCTGATAAGGCTTTTTTAAAGCAGACACGATATTTGTCGTTTTATGTAAGCAAGCTCCCATTAAACGTAAAAAAAATATTTTGAAATTCCTTACCAAGTTTACCAAGCGAATCCAAAGTTCCAAATCCTCATCTTTAAAAATCTTGTTTGTTATCTTTTAAAGAAATCATAAATTTATTGCTTTGTGGAAAATGAATTGTACTCGAAAACCGAAAATTTTCTTCTTATTGCTGCGAGAAGATCATGGAAATACAAAAACTGCCCTGCTTAACTATGATGTAATAACGACTTTTTATTTTTGTAGCATGAATTAAATAACATAGGATTAGCTAAATTAATTTCCTATAAATTAAAAAAGCGAATTTGTTATTTTTTCGATAGTAACGCTATTAAAGGTTAATAATAACAATAATAATAATATTGACAGTTGTTATAATAGGTTGGAGGGAAAGTTCTGTCGTATTTTATTCGTGTACTTTGTTTTAACACAAACGCAAGACAGTTAATGTGGATCTCCGACAGTTGTATGATGAATGTCTAAACCCTTCTGCAATTTCTCGACTTGTTAAATGTGGATTATTTTCCAACATGGATCGTGAAACAACATTATCGATCACTTTCTTGTAGGCTCAGATCCACGGAACGAAATTTGCTACACCATCTTCGACAAGTACGAACATTTACAATATCTTTTCCAAATAGCGCACATAAATTTTTACATGCAACCGATGCGTTGCTTCCTTTTTGGAATTCATACCAAATGCAGTGTCATAAATGCACTTTATCTACTGACATGTTCTTCACTTTAAATATCGCAAGTAAATGATGAGCGGTAAAAAAAAAGACGACTTTTATATTATACACCAGCTGAAAAAAACAAAAAAAAAAAAAATCCGAATGACTCACTAGCCAGATGTTTCTTTTTATTTACAAGGAAAATTATCTGCCTTTTTAAAATACGGCAGAACTTTCCCTCCCAACCTATTAACTATAAATGTATGCACATGAAAATTTTTATAAGCCTAATGGTTCCGTTTAATCGCGTACAATATAATAATAAAAATGTTAGTAAAAGATATAAAATACAAAATAATTAGAAAAGGAATTATTATTATTATTATTTTAATTTTAGACTAATGAAATGAATTCTTAGACCAAAAAAAGGACATTGAGCACTAGCAACATAGGCTATCGGCTCTAAAAAAAAAAAAAAAAAAAAAAAAAAAAAAAAAAAGATTGAGGTTCACTTATGAACTTTCAACACTTGCGATAGTATTAGTTCTCTGTAAAAAATAAATAATTAAAAAATTAAAAAAAATCAAATGAAATTTTAAGAAGAATTAATATCTTTCCTCATTTGCTGATTGACGATTATTTTAAATATCACGCCGAACTGTGATAAAAAGACCCTGTGGAAGTGTGCAAATGTAATAACTTAATAACTCATCTACAGTTGAAATTTAAAATTCAATGCGAAATCATTTCAAAAGCGAAAGCAACAACAAAACAAAACAAATAACTGTTTGTACAAAGCAAGAGACACAAAATGCGTATTATATCCAAATGGGAAAAACAGCAACTGAAACATCTGAAAAAGTGAAACATGGCATTTTTGGAATAGGAACAACACGGAGCTCATCTCACTCAAATAACATCACTACGCACTCAGACTTCATTCCATTTCACAAACTGTCTGCTTATTATCTACAAAACTAAATAAGTGGGGACGTGAAAATCCCCGGGGCCGCAGCTTATGCCCGCGCCAGAAGTGAGTATAGTGTGTTTATCCAGATCAGAGAAAATGCTTTGCCAATAATCAATCGAACTTGGCCGAAATTTGTACCAATTATTTCCATAACTTAAGAGATCTTTTTCGTCTACAATAAAAAAATCAATTTGTACGCTTCCGGTATATGACCACATGGCTGGTGTTATTATGAAAAAATTAATAAATCGACTTAGTTGGGGTTCACTGTATTTATTTATCATTGTAAGGTTTTAGATATCTAATTTTTGCACGGATATAATTATTTTCTTAATAATACCATGAAACTAACGCACGTTTGCTGGCCTGGTTCGTCGGATGGGTTGCGTAAAAATTAAATGTAATTGGTTCATGATAAGTTTTCGTATCGCTACAAATATTTCATTATTTTAAAAATAATTTCGAATATTTTCTAAGCCCTATCCTTACTACTTCTCCCTCGCGCCTCAGTCACCCCCAGGAGGGCTTACCAGTATTTTTATATTTTTAATAATAATACATTTTATTTTTATTTTTCAAAGAAAGAAATAGAAAGAATTAGAACAAACAGAATTTAAAGGTAATTAATTTATAATTTAAGATACTCATTTTAAGGTCAATTATGTTATTTATTTTTTTATTTTTTTGACAAAAAAAACTTCTCCCTTTCCTTTTTTTTTTTTCTTGTCTATTGATTTATTTTTTTTTTTTTATACTACAGTGTCTATTACAATATATTTCCATGTAAGGAATGTAGAGAATAATTTTCAACATTTGTTCTTGTTTATCTTATGAGTAATAAGCAGCAGAGAAAGCTTTTTTTCATTTTCGACACCAATCTGCATGCAAGAACAATAATTGCTCTAAGTGCTCATCTATTACACATTCTCCATTCTATATCATACATACGCCCATTCATACTTTGCTTTATAAAAAAAAAAAATAAAAAAAAATAAAAAAAAAAAACAGAGTCTAAAAAAGCAATGGCGCATATCATATCATAAAAAATTAATATGGCGGTAAACATACTTGGTATTGTAGTGTCGCCAATATGGATAACGTAGCTGTATATGTCATGAGGTTTTAACTGAAAGTTTCATTTAATTTTAGCAAATATTCGACGCATTTTTTTTAAATATTTACTCCAAGTAATCTATTATCAACGAGAATACCTTCAAATTTCTTTCTTTTTTTTTTGGATTTACGCTTATTTCGCTAACTTCATCTGTGGATATTTTCAAGCATAATGCTCGTCTTTGGAAACTTTAACAAAGAAAAAAAAAGTCGTAGTTCGCTAATCAACTTTTGTATTATGTTGACTTTATTCGTTAATTAACTAATTAATTAATTCGTTCACTTCCGCATGCTTTCATTCATTTATTTATTCCTTCTTATATTCAATCCTTCACTCATTCAATCATTCACTCCCTCACTCATTCATATTCGCACATTCACTCATTCATTCATTCATTCATTCATTCGTGCATTCATTCATTAATTCAATAAAATCAAATGCCAATATTTTCAAAGAGATATAACAATTGCTAAGAATTAAAGAGACCCCGAAAAAGTTTCTAGACAAACTGTACGATTCTTAGATAAATCTTCTTTTCAATAGATTGTGTAAATTAATTTTATACTCTCTGTTAATTTGTTCATTTTCTTCAATTTAGAATTAACTTTTAATTTAGAGACTAAACTATCTATTTACGTATTAGCTATCGACAAATCTTAAAAAAAGTTAGTTTAACGTTAGCTGAATAAATGCTATAAATCATTAGGGACTAATGACGACGAATCATGACTTTTTTTATTTTATCGATTTTCTCAACTTGTGCGTTCATTTTTGATTGAAATTAGTTTTTGCTTTTTTTTAATTTTTTTTTTTTTTAGCCATTATTATTTTATTACTAGTAAATACATTTATTAGGGAAAAAGAATTTGTGGTAGGAAATTATGCGAGCCACCCTCAACTTCAAAAAAAATTTGCGCTTGAGAAAAGGACGCCTTTGTTGATAAACATTCAAAGTTTTCTTGTAATGTTAAGAAATTCCCTTAAGTAAAGTGTGAAGCGAATCGTATAGTACTGAAAATATTGAAAAGTATAAGAGAAATAATCACCTTAGTGAAAAGTACATAGTGTTATAAATTGATTAAGTGATACGTATACTTTTCAGGAGGCTTAATATATTATATCGTTTGTAATACAGGCAGGCAAATACGTCCATATATTCTTCATCGGCATCAGATTCTCAATCGGTACAGGTGGCATGCTTTGTTGGCATTTTAAAAGTCGAAAAGCCATTCTGGAAAGGTAAAGGTAAGTTGTCCATATATGATAGATAGTCACGCCAGAAAAAACAAGGGCGATGTTTACCAAATATATTCTCTTTTATAACGATTATATAATGCCTGTTGAAAATTCTAAAACCCTCAAGCGACTAATCTTTTCATATTTTAAATTTTAAAGGGCGCCTTGGAAAAAAAAATTGAACTGAAAGTTACATGAATTCAATATTCACTTAATACACAATGTATATCATGGCATTCAATTGTTCTAATTGGAAATTTTGCTGCAAGATGAAGAGAAACAAAAAAAATTTTCGATAATCTGTTTGGAAAGTCTTTCGAGAGGCGGTCATTTATATAAGTATTATGATATGTGCAGCTGCGTTATACATATTGGCGGCACTATAATTTATATGATATTCGCCATTGCTTTTTTAAACTCTTTCAACGTACATACATATATACATATATATATATATATATATTTATATATACAAGTAAATATTGTTCTCAGCTACTTTGTGCTACGAATCATTATTAAATTAATAAAAATTCTTTATTAAAAATGATAAGCATGTGCCGTCATATTAATTTGAAAATTTCTCATTTTATTTCTATGATATTCGCCATTGTTTTCTCTTCATACATATACATATGTATACATATATATATATGTACATATACTGTACTGTTTGCTATATCATACAACTAAGAAAACATTGGGTTCCCTTCAAATTATTGTAAAAAAAATCCATATATTATATAGAAAAACATTTAACATCAGCAGATCTACTTTCGGTGAACATACGGCTGACAATAAAACATTTTATTCATCTAATAGTCAAGCTGGTGGAGACTTACCCTAACATAACTATTGCGTCATACAGGGTAAGCCAAGACTTGTTGGAAAGGTTCTTTTATAACATGACTAACGGCGCTAGAAGAAGGACTCAATTATCAGTGGAAATTGGGGCATTAATTGAAAAACTGATAAACTTCCATGTCTCCATGTGGTAGATGATTACTTTCTTGTCAACACCATGGAATACGAACTTGGAGACAAGATCGAAGAAGAGTACTATTCCACCATGATGGGAGGATCTACATATAGCCTATCTTAGCATGAAAGAAGAAGGATACCTGCGGCTGCTCACAGGATACAAAGTCGCGCTTTACATCGGTGAGAAGCTAGTATGCCAAGCGTTTCTAAATGACCTAACCAAAGAAGAAGACGAGATTTGCGAAGAGATGAGTGATTGAAAAGTTGCAAAGGGCTAGAGAGACAACTTGACCGTCACCAGCAAATACCTAAAGCTGGCCTTTCCAAAATGAGAGGTCCACGAAGCATTCATTAAAGTCTACGACATCTTCTAAGCGGTTATGCAACAACATATGGTGGAGCGGAACATAGGTAAGCGCGAGCAAGCGACAGTGGTGTCACAGCTTGCATTCTTCATGGCGGCAGGATACTGCAGTAGCAGTAGTATCCATCCGATCAATTTACTTGGATATGCTCTGTTTACGCTACTGACAGAAAGAAGAAATTTCAGGGACATCAATGTGACCTCATTCTAAGAAATATTATTTCATATTTCAATATTTATCATTTATTCATTTATTTGTATTCTCTTTTACTTTAGAAGTGATGCAAGTCACCGGCCACCATATGTTGAACAAAGAGGAACAATTGCATATTATATACAAAATAAAGTAAAAGTATATATTACTTATTTATTAATTTCTATTTTGTTATAGGATAAAAATAAAGTACAACTCTCTGCTCGTCGCCTCTTCTTAATGTAAGATTCGCTGTATGCCATTGGTAAGTTTGAGCTTAAACTTACTTATTATTATTTCCAATTTATTCATTTCCATTTATTTTATTTTATATTAAAAAACAAGCATACGCCTCCACTATCGCTTCAGCGAAATGCTATACTCCCATAGGCCAAATCGTAAGTTTGTGGTCATCTTTATATATAAAATTCAGTAATGACAACATTTTTTCTTTTTTCTTTCGCGGATATCAGCACACTGCCACACGAGCAGCGATCTTGATTTATTTAGATGTATTAACAATAGGGCTTATTGTAGTAGGCCTACAGGAAGCCAGCCATTTAAAATAATTGGCAACGCGCCTATCACGGCACCTCAAGCTGGAGTGTAAACCGTGAGAAGAATTTTGTGTTATATGGAACTAAGTAAGGTGAGTGGTAATATACTTAATTTTATATATTATAAATTTAAACAATTCTCCCTCTATTAGTATTTGTGTCTCCCTTATTAGTTGCTATTATTCGAGACAAAAAAACTTTTAGTTAATACCTTATTAAGTTAACCGACGAAGAATCGAAAGATTTCTTATGAATATGTTGAATCTGGAGTCTCCTTATATTAATATTACAGGTGCTGGAGCTTTAAAAAAAAAGATGGGTTTGCATTAAAATAACATCATGGTCCCCCATCGTTGCTCTACAAGTGCGTTACGAACTTCATTAAATTAAAATTTTTTAATCTTTGCTAAAACAGTATTCAAAGTGAAATTTATTCACATACTTAAAAAAGGTCGTCGCTTTGTAAACCTAAGTCTCGGTTAGATAAAGTCGAAAGTTTAATGGAGTAGAAAACCTATAATACAATATTAATGTTCGTTTTATAAGCTTGAAAAAGGATTTTTGGTTTCTCTGAGAGGTATGCAATTAAGAAATACTATCTGTCATAGACGAACAACCATGTCTAAATAAAAATTTATACATTTAAGATTTTTCCGGGTGTTGCAAACGTTTGCACAAAATGAATATATTCCCCTTCAGATGTTTTGCGAAAGTGAAGCCAACTTAGAAATGCTGATCTCAGTTCTATATGAATGCTATATTTCGTATTTTTCGAATTCTTTATAAAGCGTCTATGATTGTAGGGTATCATTATTATTATTATAATAATTATTATTAATATTGTCGATTGTTATTCTTATTACAGTGGACAGTAATATACTTTATATAGTTCTAATGTTTAAGCAAATTTGTATTTGAGTTCAATTCAATATAAAACGCGAGCAATTAACTCGAAACTTAATATAAAAATAAAAATATTTTCCATTTTAATGATTATTGATATTTATATATAATTATTCGATTATTTCTAAGCGCCTTTTTTTTACGAACGAATTCTAAGATTCATTCTCAATTAAATGCATTTCAAGCAAATGTTATTACTTTTAAGTGAATAACGATTTTTTTTTTAATAAAAAGGAGAAGAGTACAATAACAGTTTGTTTTCATATTTGATCACATTTATGCAAAAATTTCTCGAAAAATTTCCATTATAATTTAATAAATGCGTAATTGCTGCCTTTTAGTATAAGTATAAAATGAGTGAAATAAAGGTAAAATCAAAAAAAAAACAAAAAAAAAATTATACTTATAAAAAAATCATATCATACACAGATAGAATTTGCTGTGGAGATGCATAGTGATAGTTGTGTTGAAATTGTACAAAAATCTTTGGATGGAATGGGATTAGTAGATATCGATCGTAAGGAAGGACGCGTTATTGTGCATACCGTGGAGCCTTGGTCAAGAATACAGGAAAAAATTGAAAACACCGGACGTAAAGCGGTATTAGCGGGCTTTGGCGGACAATCTGCTGTTTCAATTATAAATAACACTGGCAGTGATATAGATCGTACCAGCATTCAAGGAGTTGTACGATTCACAGCCATAACCAACGATCAAGCAGGTGTAGTAGTAGATGGCGTAATAGATGGCTTAACGCCTGGTTTGCATGGTATGCATGTTCATGAAATGGGTGACGTCTCCGGCGGTTGTTACTCAGTTGGTGCACATTATAATCCAAGGAATTCACCGCATGGCGCACCGCATGACGAACCTAACCAAAGACACGCCGGCGATTTGGGTAATATTCGAGCGGATGAAACAGGCCGAGCAACATTTCGTTTTGTAGACTCAATTCTCGAAGTTTGGGACGTAATCGGCCGTTCCGTAGTCATTACGCAACAACCGGATGATTTTGGAAGGGGTTGCAATGAGCAAAGTAGTATAGATGGAAATTCTGGCGAAAGGTAATTATATAACTACAATGTAAAAGTCATCTTTCCAGCTGTTAATTTCACCCTCTGCAGCATTATTTCTTGAATTATCCGAAAAAACGAGAGTTGAGCTATTTTCTAAATTGTACGAATTTCATTTGCGAGAAGCGTAATTAAAATCGTAGATTTGCAACGATATTTTCAGAATCAGCTCTTACAACTACTAACTAATTATTGCAAAACCGTTTTACACAATCCTTAAGAATAAATGGTGTAGACATTGTCAATGTGTACGGGTACTTATGTCTGCAGAGTACGCTGATTGTGGCAGAACTTCCCTTTCTAGCCGCAACAGTGTATCCTAGGCAACTCCTGCCCAGTGTTGTCATGAAAGGGGCAGACTTTGCCTCCTTTAGCCGCTATCGCTGGTCTCTTTTGCAACAATAGATCGTTCAATTTATCCAAATGAGGTCGGTAGACAGGTACAGTAATAGTTTCATTCAATAGTTTAGTAGCACTATACCTTGCTGGTCTCACCATATGGTCTTGAAGTATTGACGTATTAGATGCACTTTCCATTGCCAGTCGCAATACACTGCAGAAAACTCTTTTCGTTCTCTTCGTCTCTTGCCTGGCAAACAATGAGACCACGACGTTGAAACGGCGTTTGAGTCAATTCGTATTGTCGCCATTTTCCCTCCTTTTGAATTCTTTCCATCGCCAAAATAACCATTTTTAAATCGTTGAAACCAAAATGAACAATTGGGACATGACGAAGCAGCATAACACCAAATGGGAAACTGTTATTTTATGTAGAGAACCATTGTATACATGGATGCTACTTTATCATTTTCACCAACAGAAAACGCTGTCGAAAAGGAATCTGTCTTTTTGGCTTACAATAAGCTTTCACTAGTTCTTATCGTTACTGTTAGTTCAATTTATCCCTAAAATAATCTTTTTTTAGTCAAAATTCGCAGCCTTATTCTTACATCTTTCCACGTTGGCATTAATAGTAATACGCTTAATAAATTGGCCTTAGTTTCTTTCTGAATATTAAAAAAATATACATAACCATATTCTACTATCTGAAAAAGTAAACCATACTCTCATTGGCTTCGTCCACATAATTTCAATATCCATAAAAGAAAATAGGTTAGAAAAAGTAAAAAAAAAAAAAAAAAAAAAAAAGCCTTTATCGCTTATAAAGTCTATAAATGTTTTTAATTCTTCCAGAATTGCTTGCGGCATAATTGCGCGTTCAGCGGGTATATTACAGAATTTCAAGAAAATTTGTGCATGTGACGGTGTTACATTATGGGATGAACGTTTTAAACCTTTAGCTGGTGGTGTAAGAAATCGAAAAGTGTGAAATTAATACAAAGGATATTTAAATTTTCTTATAAGGTAAATATATTTGTGATTAGTTACTAATTTCTATAACAATACTTTCATTAATATCCACATTCTGAAGACCGTCCTTAATTTGTTTTAGTCTCTGTTTGCATTTATTTTTATAAGCATGCACTAACTTGCTGCACAGCACGGGAGGTGAAATTACGATGGTGGAATGAATCTGAAATATGGATAGATGTGTCAATTTTTTAAGTTTATATATCTACATGCAGTTAATATTATATTTATATATATATATATATATATACTTCTAAGTAATCTTCCTCCATTTCATAATCGATGCATTCCTGTAGCAAATGTAAAATAGTTTGAAATTCTTCAGTTTTTAGATAATACTTCATTTCACCAATATTTGCTTTGTACCAATCCGCATAACTATTCAAATTCTTGTTTATATCCATATCAGTCGCTGTAAATGCTCTGGCTGTTAACAGCAAATGCATTACAGCCTCTTTATTGTTTATGGAAGCGCTTTGTTTTATACGTGATTTTAAATACTCTATAAAAATTGAAAACAAAGAAACAATTAAGGGATTACTTTTTCATAAACTTGATCTTACTTTGCATGAAAGGGCCAGTTATTTTATTATTACTACTGCTTAGAGTTTGCAAAATGATGAGGAAAAATTTCCAGCCTTTAAAATTTTCTTCATTGGATAATTTCAGTAAATAATTTAAAGATTCCTCTAAATAATCAAATATTAACTGAAAGTACATTTTTTTATTTTTCATTCTCTTTTTTTTATAAAAAATGAAAAAAATACTTTCTCATACAAATCCTTGGGGAACTTTAAGTCGTTCACACCCTCATTTATCCAAGCGGAAAATTTGGAAAAACTCGTCCTAACGTCTGCCTGATGTAATTTTAATATGACAGCAATATGTGTTTGAATGGCTCCCAATAGAATCTCAACTAAATATAAATATGTGAATGAAAAAAAAAAAAAAGTAAATAAACAAGGAAACTGTTCTTCTTAATGCGAATTTTACGGGTTGCCCACCGCCTAGATTTAAAACCATTTATCATCTTCACCAAACCAACAATGTCAACTACCGATGAAGAAAGGTTTAGAAGTTAGATATATACGTTTCTCTAATCAAAATGCTTCATTTAAGCCAAGGTTAGCTTTTCTCTACACCCCTTTCTTCCCTATCTCTTTTATTGCGACACTAAGACTTAAGAAATATTGTCACAAATAAAGATTGATCTAAATTAGTTTGATATCCTTCTTACGGCCGTATTGAGTCGTTGCTCTCTCTGGTCTGGCGATTGGCATAAAAAAAATATTGATTAAATAAAGCATTACCGGGCAATTGTGTTTTGAGGCATGAGAGGTAATTTAAATTATTAAATTCTGGTTGGCTTAGCAAGTCTTTAAATAAATACTCCAAACATTCCTCCAAAAGTTCCTTAATCTCCGGATATGATTCTATAAATGATTAGTTAAAAAATATATGATACTTTGAAAATATTTTAAATCAATACTTACGAAAACTCGCGTTAATTATTAAATTCGTTATTAATTCATATTCTTGCTCCAAGAAATCATTTAGTATTAAGTGGATATTCTGATTTGTATACATACGTCTTAAATGTAGGATAATATTTAGCAAATGTGTGTGGAAAGTAAATAAAATCCGATTGATATTACCTTGAAATAAATTCTGTTGCTGTTAGTATTCTTACTTTTTGAAGCGCAGCCAACACATGCACACTGCCTACATCCCAAGGAAGCTTGCAAAAGGACGCAGCCAACAAATACTAATAAAATGATTGAAGTTACATTTAATCCTATTTATTATAAAAATACAATTTCCTATCAATATGGTATAGTGATAAACTTACCCTTTCGGTTGCATTTAGAGTTTCTAATAATTCTATAAATTCAAATTGTTGAGAAAAACAAGCAATCTGGGTATTACTTTTCAATTGCTAAAAAAGATTAAGCAAATGTTTATAGGAAGTGCAAAAAAAACAACAAGCAAGACATGCAGACAATAATATTCTAGCCTGTCATTAAGGATTGATAAGGGCGTTGAAACTACGAATTCGTATTTTAATATTAAAAGTCCAGAAGGAAAGTTGACTTTAACGCGGATTTTTGAATACGGGTTTACTTACATTAAATATTAATTTAAAACTATCGCTTATACTGTAGGACATTTTCACTATTGACTTTTTTATACGTCCAAGAATTTCTAATTTTAACTAATTTTTTTTGTCTTTGTTGTTCGAGTTTGGCGCGAATAGGTCAAGCGTAGCATAATTTGTGCTACATTTCATGAAGTCTTGATATTTTGTAAATAAGAAACAGCTGATCGCCCGTGTTAATTGACTGCAATGCAAATATGTACGAACCCTGCGTTGCAAAAATGTAGCAGTGTTTGCGAAAATGCAAATCAAATAAATTGCATTTTTCAATGCTTTTTGTGGCGCTTTAGAATGGGAGCGTTTTATGTAAATTTATTTTATATTTGAAAAGCGTCGCCAATGTTTGCTTGAAACTAATAAAAGAGACATCAAAACCGAAATAAGCAATGAAGGACTTCCCCTTTCGATTGATTCAAAATCACTTTTTGAATCTATCTAAACTTGTATGTCTGTCCCATGTTTGACCTACAGGCGACAATTTTTGAAATATTTTGATGAAATTTTGGTACACTGAAATGTTTTGGCTTACGGGCGAACGTTGTTGAAAACGATTCGGATCGGACCACTTTTCACGCTTTATTTTTTTTTGTATGAATAACTGCGGGGTTATGTAGGGTATTTAATGGTGGGACGTGACCCGCTACCGTCTTTTTACTTATTTTAGATCAAAATTTCATTTGAAAGAACGGAATCCTACATATTATGATTTAACGCATTTAACGTATTCTGTAATCAAGTATTATTAAGTTTTCAGCGATTATCGTTTTGTGATTCATTATGTAACCTATTAACAAAAAAATTTATGTGAGCGTTGCACATTCCTTGTGTGAATTTGCTCACTAACAATGTGGTCAGATACGCCTTCTTACATTAAGTTACTCCTAGAAGATTTTTTTCATTACGAATTCAAGCCGTCAAGCTGTCTCAGTTCAGGCTATATTGAAAATTCAAAAATCCCGTTCCATAACTAATATTTTGATTCCTTTAAGAAGATTAATACGAATCGAAAAATGTGTAAATGAATGTAAACAAAGATAATTAAGTATTGCAGATGAATGACATAACAATTGATCCATATGTCAATTATGTTACTGATAACACGAGAAAGAAAAATTGCTCATTCAGATAAGACCAAGTAATTTAAATCTCTTCACTTCCCGGTTATTTACATATAAAATAGTTTATATAAAGGCAAATACAAGTAATGGTCAAGAGTCGATTATAAAGTTTTGCAAAAAATGATGCGAATCTTTCTAGAATGGGAAAAATAACAAGAGCAATCAGACTATTTAGAACCCAAGATGTATAGGACCAAATATATTATATCGTAGTAAAAAAATGCAAGGTTCCCAACCTTTTTGAAAGAAAAACCGCGCTATACGACAGTTTCCTATATATTAAAGTCATTAACAATGAATGCACTTTAATAATAATTTTGAAAAGGCTTTCGAGTAAAACGTTTGCAGAAAATTCTCGCGATAGGCATTGAAGGTTATGTTTTTTTCGAAATGGCTTTCGAGTGAAACGTCGCAGAAAATTGTGGTGATAAACAGTAAAATTTCTATTTTCTTTTTAAGTTTTTAATAATTTTTTTAAAATGGATATCACCAGTGCCACATTAATAGTAACGATCACGCTTGCCTTTGCTTTATTTGTATTAAGGGTGAGATGGTTTTTTTTTTTAAAGCGATTTATCGATTTACATAAAAATCGATTGTATTTAAATGTTTTTTTTTACAGATTATATTGATAATAAGACGGTGTTATCTATTACAGCAACAATTAAAGATCAACTCAGAGCAACCAAGGGGTGAGTATCAAGATTTAAAAATTTTCTTACATAAATTTCTTATTTGAATATTGCGACAGTTTAATGGAAATTGGCATAAGAAACAAAGCAATTATTATCTTATAAACCAAAGAAATATTAACAGTTCTTATCTTCTTATCTAATCAGAACCCCTTTAGCTAAATCCTCTTTGATATTGTATCAGTTAAGATAGGCAAACGTTTGTATTTTTATACCCTACACAACTTGTGCTATAGCAGGTATATTAAGAGACGCAAGCAACATTTAAATGGACTTACCTTTCATGATGCCGATCGCTTTACAATCATTTTCTGATTGGCTTTCATTTTGTTTGGTGGTCTGATGCCTGTCCATGTAATTTTGTGTTCAAGCTACAGGCCGAAATTTTTGAGGAACCTTGATGAAATTTGGTACACTACCGGAATTTTACCCATGGATGAACGCTACTGAAAATGATTTAGATCGGTTCACCTTTTGCACCATTCCTCCCATAACACCCTATTGTGAAAAGTTGTTATATGGAAAATTGTAATTTTCAAAATTTCTCGACAAAAGTGGTTAAGTAATAATACTTCCACATTCTAAATGGTTGTGAAAACCAAAACTTTCACAGGGCAGGGGCAATTTTTTGAAACCCCTCCCGTATAACGGAAACTGAAGTTCGTATGACAAAAAGGCCTAATTTTTAATGCTGCTGGATGAAAATCAGACCATAACAGTAATTTATGACAAAAAAATATTAATTGTATTAACTTTAGGCCGTCTGGATCTATTTTTTGAATACTACTCTATGAAAAAATTTTCACGAAAATTGATCCTTCATAGAAAAGTCTAATTATAATATGTTATGATGAAACTTAACCCACAATAATAATTTAGATAAAAAAAATTCACTGTAGTAAGTTTGGACCATCCACGCTTGTTTTTGGATTATTAACACAATTTTGATATTTTAGGGCAAAAGTGTCTAAGTTGTAATATGTCAGGATAAAAATTAATCCATTATAGTAATTTAATATAAAAATTAATTCTCCAACATTTGGGTTAACCACGCTTATTTTTGCATGCTACCCTCTATAAGAATTTTCACGAACATATTTGTTTTTTACGAAGTAAAAATCTAAATTTTAACGCTTTATGATGAAAATTGATATATTATAGCAATTTGATATAAAAATTACCTAGTAGAACTAATTTTTAATGTTTATTTCCATAATAGTAAGTTCCTATAAAAGCAGGGTGTAGGGTATTTAATAAGGGGGCTAGCCCGACTATAATGTTCTCACTTGTTTTCTTTTTGTTTTCGTAATAAGTTGAATGTGAAGTAATCGTTGTTTCAATCCTAAAAACTCGAATTCAAAGTCATTCTTCTTCGCTTTTTTTTTTAATTAATAATTGTGCTGCAAGTAATTTTAAGAATTTTGCATATTACACATTTCGAGATTTATTTTCCATTAAAAAGGAATAATACGAGGGTCTCCCTAGATGAGCGTAAAGAAGACTCTACTCGACATCTTTTTTGATAAATTAAGTTTGTGCGAACATACGTAGCATCTAGAAGGGTTTAAGGTAAACCCACCTTTTATTACACACATCCATTCTGAGCTGATCTAAGCCCGTCTGATGTGTGTCCGTGCATTCTTGTGGTTAATCTGCAGGACGCAATTTTTGAGATATTTTGATGAAACTTAGTATGCGGACCTGCTTTGTCCCAAGTATGAAGGCTATCGGATATGGTTGAGATCGGTCAACTTTTTCAAGCACTTCTCATATGGTGCCTTATTTTGAAAAGTCGTTTAAACGAGTTGCAATTTTTTTAATTTTTCGACAAAACTCGTTAGTAATACGACATTTTAAATTTGCTATAAAAATTTATTTCAGTTGGGACAATGTTTTGAAAATTGGAACCTTAATATGGTGTGATGTTTAGTATTTCGTAATAGGAAATCAATATTACAGATTTTGAACCCCGTATGTCTATTTCTTGTAAAAGAATTCTTATTATTCTTATTATTATTATTATATCCTTTATGGCAAAAGGGCCTACTTTTTAAAGTTTTACAATGATAATTTTACATAAAAATTATGTAGACCAAATTTGAACCACATCGCTCTATTTCTTGGACCCTATTCCATATAAGCCGTTTTATGAGTTCTTCAGAAAAATGTTAAATTTTTATTATTTTCTGATGAAAATTAGTTCACAGTAGCAATTTAGCAAAAAAATTACCTTTGGGGAAATTGTATCCCATAGGTCTATTTCTTAGACCCTAAGATATGTAAGAGTTATAATGATAAGCAAGCCCTTATATGGAGAAAAAGTATAATTTCTTTTTTTCTATGACGGAAAATGAAAAATAATACAATTTTTAGAAACGAAATTAATTTTGCTAAATTTGGATCACGTTATATAGTGCTTCAGGCATTTTCCAATATGCAGGCTTTCTTGCAAAGTATGTATTTACTTAGTTATTTATGTATTGTTACCAAAACTAGCCAACATTTATATTAGGCGGATTGGTGTAGGGTATTTAAGGGTCGACTTTGCCCGACTACATTGTTCGTTCTTGTTAACACATCATTACCTTTTGGGGCGTTATTGAGTATCGGCAGAGATATTGTTTCCAAAAGTCTTTGGGACATAGTACACTTACGGCAGATTCTATAACAAATATGAAAGTATTGACCGCAATTTCAAGGAACATAATAAAGTGTCATAATATGCTATGGAGTATATGTACATATAACTATGGGATGAACCTTTAAGGTGGTAGTTGATTTGCTAAGAAAGCTTCTTAAGTACGCGATAATATTTCTCCCTAGAGAGTATTACTAAAGTCTCTTATTTCTAATAATTTATTTTTTGTACGTTTTTTCACCATAGCATGATTACAATAATGTAAAATAATTTACAAAATTTCAATAAATTCGTTGAAACAATAAATAATAATAAAAAAAAAAACGTTTGAAAAACATAATAATTAATATCTTTAGGTAAAAAAAAAAAAATTTGCTCTTATCTACAGAAGTTCTCTAAAAGCAGCCACCAGTCCGAAATTGATTAAACTTAAATACAAATAATAAATGTTTAATTTAAATATTTCCCATTTCTCACGTAAAATTATTGCTAATCGTGCTGTGCGTGTGGTACGCTTCGATTTCTCTTCACTATACGATGAATGCAAACAGCACTTGGACATGACCCAAAAAGCGGTCATACGATTTTGTGTGCGCAGCGTAGATTCAATTCCGCGTATTAAGTCGTTGGTTTTTAAAATTAATAACATTTGACGATCAACTTGCTCTAATACGTCCGATATATGAGGTAGAACTAAAGAGGTATTATTTTGTAATGTATCCTTCTGTAAGAAATATAAAAAAACTAATTATCGTATCTAATTATTATAAGAACGCTATTACGTTACGTACTTCTTCTTTGGTGTATTTAACTTTATTGACGCCTCGTACAACCGTCTCCCATGGCCGGCCGGTTACCATACAGGCAAATAAGCCGTATAAATTTCCTTTAATTCCTAAATTTTCGGAATATTTCTGCATCGAATCACGATCCACGTTCAATATACTTAGCCACAATTTTGAATAATTGAAGCGAAATTTATCGGTTAGATTGGCATAGAGGCCATGATCCAGTAATATTATTTCTACAGCATGCTTTGGATCTTTACGCACCAATATATTGCCGGGATGAGGATCACTATGCACAAAACCGGTATTGAATATCATTTCCGAGTACAGTTGGCCCAATCTGTTTGATATCGTCAAAGGATCGATATTATTGTTTTGTATGTACTTGAGATCATTAACCTGACCACCTTCTAGATATTCCATGACAAGTACACGAGGCGAACTAAGTTCCCAATAAATTTTCGGTACTCTCAACCATTGGTATTTGTCAAATTGTGCAGCCACCTTTTCGGCATTACGACCTTCGTTCAGGAAGTCCAGCTCGATTGGTAAATTTTTTTTCGATTCATCCACTAACCATTGTACTTTAAAATCGGGAAATATTAAAGCCAATACTTTTACGGCTACTTCCATAGTTTTCATGTCGACGCGAGAGTTTCCTTTTACATAAGGATGTTGAACTTTTACAGCTACAATCTCCCCCGTCTTTAAAGTAGCTTTGTGCACTTGAGCTAAAGAGGCTGTGCCTAAAGGTTCCTTTTCGAAATGTTCAAACATATCCTCGGAATTAACATTTAGATCTTGCTTTATGACTTTAAATAAATCTTCCACAGGATTTTGGGGTGCGTTTGAATGTAATACTTTCATCGTTTGTACAAATTCTTTCGGCAATAAGTAATCCAAAGCACCTATGTGTTGACCGACTTTAATATAAACTCCTTTATTAGTGCAGATTAATTCTAAAAGTCTTTCGGCAGCCAATGTGTGCACTTTACTCTTCTGGGCCTTATATGCGGGATCATTTTTATCCCAGTCTTTATAATAAAGCTTTTGCTTGTATAATAAGGCAACGTCGACCACAGCCACTGCTGAACGCATCAATCGTATCACTCCCACTGAATTTAAATCATAATCGTTTGTTCGCAAACTTAAAGCAGTACCAATGACACTGGCACCCAACAGACTATGCGTTAGCAATCGTTTAAACATCTCCCTTTAGCGCGCAGTGCGTAATTGTATGGCACTTTGAAAGTAAACGCAAATACTAAAAAGAAAAAAATGTACACATACATCTTATTAAAGTTTGACTAGAGACGTCGAAAACAAAGCAGTTAATGGGGTGTTAAAAATTTAATGTGATTGCAGATTAATGTATGCAAATTAAAGTGAGTTAAAGTTAATCCGAACGGATGGTGATGGACTAAAGATAACAAAAACTTTCAATTTTAGCTTAACCTTCGAATATCTTTTGGGCGAAATTTGCGATTTAACATAAAACTGGTGACTTTTTTAATTCTAGATTTACGAAAATCCGTTAATTTGATGGGTAATTTTTGTGAATCGTCACAAGTCGCAAAAATGAAGACACCAAACCGAAATTTATCAAAAAATATTCCTTGATCGATTAAGAAGACGAGGTTAAAAAATGACGTGATCTGTTCAAAGACACGCCTACAATGCGGAAGAAACTAGAATACTCAAAGGGGACCGCAAGCGATTTTTTCATAAGTCCGTCTATGACTTTCGATACCGTGACATGTGACCAAAGATGTTCATTAGAATTGTTTTAATATCCATTTACAATATATGGAAAATAAATTGGAAATACTTTACAATTTTTTCTCGTGTTCATTGTGGACGTATTAGCAAACCGATAGAGACAATTCTTACACATCCATATGTCCAGCTGGTTCTGGTGAATATTTGGTTAATGGTTTTTCGGAAATATATAAATTTAAAGATAGCGACTTGCTTATGCCGAATTTTTTAATTCAAAAACCCGCCAAAATGATGGCTGCTGTAAATCTTGTGTTAAAGACACAGGCTACTTAAAGATGACGTGTCAGTCGCGACAGCTATAAGCTTACAATATTGTTTCACTTCGTTTCCTTTATGTAAAAACACGTAGAGTTCCACAGTATCACTTAACCCAACATGAAATGTTCACACAAAATATCCTAACTGCCTCCATATCGTCAATGAACACAGCAACAATTAGCCTTATGCTGCTGGAGAATTCGCAACTACAGCTTGTTATCAATTTGTTACGGTTCCAAGGAGTTTAAACGAAGGACTTACTTATTCGCGGTAGGCAAAAAGTTGGCACTCGCTTAGTTACACTACAATGTCACTACTTTGTTATCATTTCTTTTTACAAAACAAAAGAAGACGTTGTAACATATTCGTGTCCAAGCTTTTGGGCACATGTTGCTACTTAATGTTATTATGCATGCTCTGTTTGAAGTTCTTTTTACTTGGCAGCAACCGATATTTAAACTTTCACTTAGAGTTCAAAAGTGCGCAGTGCAGGGTAATAATTTTTATGAACATGTTTGCATTGTAAAATGATGTATTACATAAACATTTATTACAAAATGTTTAGCTGAGTATTATAAATTACCTCTGCGTTTGTTCAACAAAACAGTGGAAGCAATGAAAAGACCTTTTTTAACATTTGCTACGACACCCTGAACATATTCAAGCCTCAAGCAATATTTAAAATTTGTAAGCGTTTGCCGTAACTAACTAAGTGACAACTGATAGTGAAAAACTAAAAAAAAATTAAATGAAATTTATTGTTTGGTTAACAGCCTTATTTATTCAAATAAGTGAAATCAATTACGATTTCGCATTTATTTCCTCTACGCACTTTTACTTTTGTTTACTCCGACAAGAAAATATTTCACTTTTTTGTATTAAAATTTAACATATTTCATTTGTTTATTCTCCTAATCTATGTATATTATTTCGCACAAGCTTTCGCAAAAATAACTCCTCTGCGTTGAAAGTAAAAATGTTCTTTTTTGAGAGTAAAATTTGCTTAGCTGCGTGCTTTTATTTACATTTTGCACATAACAGATGTTCCTAGGATATATTGTAATTTCGCGCCTAGTGTTGCCATAGTCTAGGAATAATATTTCGAAACAGCTGTTTAACGGTTTTTGACGAAAAAAATATTTTCGTCTGGATAGAATTCTTAATAACTTTTGAAACCAAGAAAAAAAACTTATAAAAATTATTCGCAATTTGCATTGTTTAAATAAATGCCATAATAACATCTAATGGAATTTTTTCGTTCTACTTGTAACAGCCCGAAGTGTACAGCATACATATATATATATGTCCGTCCATTAGAATTAATTAGAAAAAAAATTTTTAGCTTGATAATGTATATTCTTATTTGAGAACTACATGTAAAATAGGTAAAGGGTCGTAGATTTCAACTCGTTACAGACAGTAATCCACAATTTGGAGCAAAAGCAAAAATCGTATAAAATTTTAAGCAAAAATAACTACGATCGCCTTGTAAATGGTTCGCAAATTTTCAAAACCTTTCACTCATACCACGTAAAATATATTGACCCAATATTCTTTAAGAATAAATCGTGATGATAATTTTAATTTATTTGCTTTTTCTTTTACAGTTCACTCACCAAACGATCAACACATCGTACAGATCAATGCGACAGTTAATAATTCCCAGTTAAATGATGATCCAGCAACTAAAGAATTTGATTTACCGCCTACTTATGATGAAGTTATGAAGTCCTATTTACATATGAAGCAGAAAAAAACTTCAAATATAAAATCGTCATGTATTTACAATGAAGATAAAATAAATTTGTCTATCATACAAGTTCACAATGGAAGCACAGTTAATTTTGAGGCTGGAAATATTTCCGCAAACGCCAGAGATGTGTTAAATAATCAATTATCGGATCGGTATAACACGTAAACGTACACTTTTGAAGAGTTCCTCAAAACTCTAATATACATACTTGTTCGTGGAAATAAACCGATTCAGCATTTCAATAAGAAATTAAAATTACCATCAAAATCACCATTGCTGGAAATTCATTAATCTTAAGAAAACTATCTATCATAAATCTAAAGAAAGAAAAACCTGTATTCGTCTTGTACCGAATGAATAATTTTATGTATCTATGTTGTCGCATCATTGCGAATTATTAAATAGCTTTAAAAAACACTCGAAGTATATTTATTTTATTTATAATATATTTTTTAGATTATTATTTGACTACAATATTCTATCTTAGGTCTTAAAATCGAATCAAAAATACTTCTTTAATGACATAGCGTCTGACCAACTCTTGAAAGCATTATAAAGTTGCGCACGAGCCTTTTCATCTTTATAACAAACTAGTCCAATAGTAAAGCGGTACTAGAAAAATAATATGCGTTTTTGCCGTCAAGTTTGTATTACCGAACCTTTGAATGCTTTTTATATTAGTGTTTGCGAAAATTTTAACAGCGTCGTCTACGTATAAAAATGATAAGGAGATGGGAAATACCAATTTATATAACGGTTGAATTCGATAGTTGTGATCTTCTCTTGCATAAAATGATAGTTTTCCATTTAATATTATTGATTTACTCAGCGTACGCTGACGCTAATCGTTGAGCATTCAAAATTCTTCCTCTTTCAAATTCATTACTGTTGTTGTTTATTTGAAGAAATCTGATGCCGAAGCCCACGAAACACGTTCGAAGGCTTATGGTAATGTTGCTCTATCATATTGCAATTGTCGGTTTTGGGGTTAACAGTTTAAACGTAGCGACACGCATTCGCTAAAAGTGACATTTTTTGATCACTTGTTGCAAGAGCTGTCCAGGATGGATTATTGCAGCTCGAATGAGAAGTTTTGCCCCACCCAGCGCATGCACCAGACTTGCCGCCTCCTAATTACCACTTGTTTAGATTCGTGCAGCCTAGTATCGCTCGCACGCGGGCCCGCAAAATTAAAGATATACGAGATGGTCGGTGAGAGGATCGCTGCCAAATCAATATAATTTCTTTGGACATAATATTGCATAATTATTGTCAAAAATATTATGAAATGTAGATCAAAATTTTTGTAAGCACCTAATACATACTAACGCAACATATAAACGTCAGCGACATTTTATATTAAAAACAAGGAAAAAAGTTATATTCGCCGGGGGCTGAATCCCGCATACCCACGACATGTTTTTCGCATTCTATTCTTCAAGTTCTTTTTATTTCACACCCATATCCCCTCGTATTATTAAGAAAAGGTTAATAGCGGTGTCTATCATGTTTGTTTTAAAATTAACCCATTTTAAGGCAGATAATACATTTACGTTTAAAGAATGTCTTGTTTGCCTTGGGTAAAGACATGGAATCACTTCCGATTCCGACCGATTTGGCCCATTTTCAATATCAACCTACGTGCAGAAACTTCCGTTTCTACTAAATTTGAAGTCGATAACATTTTCGCGACCAGGGAAGTGCCAACAACACACCCCACACAGCCGCACAGATTAACATAAATGGCTAAATCGACTCAGCATTTCACGCTGATCAAGTATATATTATATACTTTGTAGGATGGGTCTGTGAAGCTTCCTTTTAGGTGCTACGTATTTTATGGAAAAAAACTAGAAATAAAGAATATCTCCATCCTACAGTAGTGGGTATAATGAAATGTAAAACATGAGACACATTTTGTATGAAAATCGAAGCTTATATCCTGGGTGGGGGCGCAATATATTTAATTGCTCTGAACAGTTAGCACAATCAATGGGTGTCAAAATCGTGCTCTAATTATTCATCAAGGCTGTGGTTTCGTTTTTTACTTTAAATTTGCACGAAGCTACCGACAGCGGTGATACATACTAACACCCAACACCTATATGTGATCTAAATTCAAAAGATAAGCCCCGGACGCAGTCGATACGTCTTCAAATGTAAGTCTATCAGTTGAATTTCATTTTCCTACCATATGCGTATCCGAAGCATTCTTTTCGCTACGGAGATCGCATCGAATAACTGAAAAAGCAGAAATATATATGTGTAATAGAAGGCCGAAAAATCCTTTATTAGGCCATTTATTGTGCAATTCCAATATTCAAATAATTTACCTTTCAAAAAGTCTACTGAAATTTTGTTTAAATTTAAAATTTTTTAAATACTTTTTTAAATAATTTTTTTTGCTTTTTAAAAAAAATCAGCACTTTTGCGAAAGTCCCTCGGATTTTCGAAAGTAAAAGTAATTTCAGGACCGCCCTTATAGATGACTTTTAATTTGTCCAATTAGTTTCTAACAGAAAATACAACCTTCGAGAAGATACAAACTTCAAATTGCTTTTATAATTCAAATTTCAATTTAACTTGTTCAACGTGTCGCCGATTTCTTTTTCCATCTATTGAAAACTTACCAGCCACATAAAATTTGTGAAATTCACGAATGATAGGTGTGTGCGTGTGCGTATGTTTTGAGAAAAAGACCAAAATTATTTATTCCTTTAAAAATTCAAACAAACAATTTCTGGGAAAAAAAAATCGACTCATATGAACGCGCACAATCTCAAACACGTATTAATTTTGTCCTCAACATACAGAGAAATAGACAATTATAAAAAGGGACCGGAGACGAACATTGTCGAACGTTCAATTATTGCTGTCACATTCACTTGTATTAAGTTTCAAGTTGTAATGCATTGCCGTTCTCGATAAGGTCGATGATGATGTAATTTCCGGATCCATGAGTTTTTCTAGACCTGAACGGTTTAGTGTGGTGCTAGATTTTTCGACGATTTTTTTTAATTTAATCAATGTTTTGCTCGTATTCACACTCTCGCGACTTTTGCTAATGCTGTACTGAGTGGAAGCATTTTTGCTTTGAGCAATCGAATTATTTTTACGTATCAATCCAGAGACTTCGTTCACCAATTGTTCAGTTTGACTGGCTGATTGCTTTTGCTTGTTCTTATTGACACTCGCATTTGAGTCATCATCCGAGATTTCAATTATTTCGTCATAAGTTTCAATCAGTATGCAGTCGTTCTCCCCAATACTATCGGAAGATCCTGGTGGTGTTACACGCATCCATTTCTCGATCGGTTCCTTTAAGTATGTAATCAATGTTTCATCGAGTGCACTACAATTAACGTCCGGTTCTGCTTTCCTTGAATATCGAATTGATTTTTCCAATCGTGTCGTTTCTTTATATGTTTGCTTTTGTTTAGTACGCGTTTTGTTAACGCGACCATTTCGAATATTTCGTTTTCCCATGTCAAACGTTATTAAATTGGTTTGCAAGGGACACCGGTCTCTTATAATCTATTTCCAAGAGTTTTTATCTTTCCGACAAAACGTGAAGGCGCGCGCTGATCTTAAAAATTATATATGTATTTTATATACGTGACTATATGTTCATTAATATATAGTTTCTAATGGTTTTTTCCAATATTTTATTAATTGTAAAAAAATTTGATATAAATTTCTGTGAAATTGATGAATAAAATTCAAAAATAATGCAAGTAGTTGTCGATGAAATCACAAAAACAAATTTTAGATACATTAGATAATTATTAGATATCCAAAAATTATAATCAAAAAAAAGGATTCAAATTTTGCTCGAATCTCTTCACATTTTAAATGAGTTGAAAAACAAAAAGGCCGAGAATGCGTGAGTTACTCTAAATAATTTCTATTTTTCTCGTTCCTTTCCTTTATTTATAATTAGTACCTTTCAATTTTAAATAAACTATACATATATATACCGAACAGCGCATACACATTAAACTAAAATGATTCAATCAAATAGCGCTTGGAAAAGGAATTATATCGCATGCAACATTAATATTAATTAATATTTGTCGTAGAAAAAGTCTTAACACATCCATCTCTTTTTTTACACGTTCTTGAAATAACACGGTTCACCAATAAGGACAAATACACTCCGTTACATGAATTTTGTATTCTAGCAGGAATTCACCCCCCCCCAAAAAAAAAAAGAAACCTTTTTTCTGAGTTCAACTTTTGACTGTGTTTTACAGACAGTGTCTTATGTATAAAGTAACCATATATCGTATTGGGGGAATACAGTCGTCAGAAGTCGTTCAGCTTCTTATGCTCACACATCTTTTAGTGATTTGCTACTACTGTTTTGAAAAATTTTTGCGACCTATACGTTGAACACAAAAATAGGTGAACAGATGACAGACGGACAGACAACCTTAATAAATGATGGATCTGTTTAAAGCTCGCTTGGATTTTATTTACGTTCGCGCAATCCTACCATAAGTCTTGTAGGGTGTAAAATGGTAACGTTATGTTATATTTTCACTGTACACTAATTTGAATTTCTCTTTTTGTAACAAAAATGAATTGGTTATTTTTTATTATATAAATATGTAATAAGCATTTCATTATTACTTGTTTTTGTTGTGGAGCATTCCCTAATTTACCATATGTTGCATTTTTGTTTTTTTTTTCACATTGCTTTCTAAAGATGGTATAGATCGTGTAAAAAAAGAGTTGGATGTAATTTAAGGTCCCGCTTGTAAAATAACTAAACAACAAAAATTCGAAAGCTAAGAAAATATAAATATCTAGACGATCAATTTTAACTAACAAAAATTCAAACAATAAACTAAAAATTAATGTTTAAGGCTTATTAAGTAACTAGGCTGCCTAAGCTCTCGCGTAAAAGAACTAAATAACATTTTTATACTTTAGAATATTAGAAAAAGTTTAAACATTTTGTAAAAATGTGGACAAAAGGTTTCTAACAACTATACGAGCACTCTGACACAAATACGTAATTCCTGACCGCTGTTTCTTAATCTTAATTAAATTATATCTTGCTGCTAATGACAAGTTGCCTGAAAGTATACTTTTTTGGTTATAAAACGAAAGACAACCAAATGACAAGATGGTCTAATATATTTTTCAAAATTCAAGTTAGCAAATTGTTACGCGCTTTTCGGTGTCTCTCTTATCAATAATAATAGTAGTACCTCTCGTAATTATCAAAAATTTGACTGCTTGTTCTATCATTTTCAAGGGCAAAATTCTGTTAATAGTTTCTTGATAAGACGTTACATTCGTTTAAACGTTTGTAAGGCAGAAGCATGTGTAATTCGATATTTTTAAGTGAACATGCGCTATGTTATTGTATGTACGAAAAAGAAAGCAAACCGTATGTATGTATGTAGCGAATATGATTTGTTTTTTTTTTTCATCGTTTATTCCATTGAAGAATTCTTCATGTTATGTTCGCCAAATGCTTCGATCAATTTTAACAAAAATAACGAGAGAAATTTTTTATTAGTTAAAAAAGTTACGTTTTAAGAATAGTCTTTATCTTTATCTAATTTGCTTAATAGTTATATATTCATTAATTTTATTTGCTTATATATATATTTAAGATATTTCTGCAATTTTCCATATCACATATGAGTTATTGTCCATGCATGACGCTTTACTAGGAAATATTTTAAAATATTCAAGAATATTTTATAATAGTCTAGAATATTATGGAATTTCTTCGTATTTCTCCATTGAAGCAATTGATGAATATAAAATTAAGATGCATTCAATGCCAAATAGAAAGGAAACGGATGAAAGGAAATTAAATCATACTTTCTACCTACCTTACTGTTTGCTTTTTTTTTTTCCTACATATATTCTTATATATGTACATTAGGCGATCTTTACTTGCAAACATAGAACTGTATATATGGTTTGAGAGAAAGCGACGTCTACTCACAGAGTCTTTGTCCATAAAAATAATGAGATTAAAAGCAGAGAGAGGAAGCAGTCAAATGGCTGCAAATTAACAACATCATCATTATTATTGATAACAGAGACACAAAAAGAAGTTCGCAACAATCTCCTAGTTTGAGTTTTGCACAAAATGTTGGACCGTCTTCTCGTTTAGTTGTCTCTGGTAATGCCATTTCAATATAAGAATACATAAAAGTATATAATTGATAAAAAACACACGGCACAGTTTATCGGTAAAAAGCTACGCTATAAAAAATACAAATATATATATATGACATGTACTATATATGTAATATATGTATATAGACATTTAATATATATATATATATAAATTAACAAAAGGAAGTAATTGATTTTACATTAATAAATTTAGAAGAAAAAGGTTGACAAAGAAAAAAAATAATACAAATAATTTATTTACATTTGAATTTAATTTTTAAAAAGAATTTAAACGCGATTGAGAATCGAACATAAAGGCGGGCCCCACTTTCCGTAGGGATCTTTCGGTAGGATGAATATATCATTACACCAAGTGTAACCAATTACTCGATTTTCAATAATCTTTTTAAACGCGGTATTTTCAAATAATAAATCGCGATAATTATCATTAGATATTATTACAGCATCTAATTCACAGGCCAATTGCAAAATGAAACTGTCGAGAAATTCCAATTAAATTATTAACATAAACATTAATATTTTCGACTTGACTTACCGATCATCATAACAGGCGCTGGCTTTACCTGGTAAATTTTTACATGGTGTTAGGACTATTTTGCCAGCTCTATGTAACCGTTCTAATTCATCCGGCTCAGTCGATTTATTCTTAGATATTCTAAATTGCGGTACAATGGCCTTCACTTCATGACCCATTTTCTCAAAATACTCAATGGCAATTTTCAGACCACGTACTGAGAAATTTTTACATAATGCATGGCTAGTGCGGAAATTAATTATCAATTAAAATGGAAATATAAATTAAAATGACAGCCAATACCCGAAGGCCACATTGCTACCGTCGATGATGATCATCCGTTTTTTTGATAACCGGCCATTCTCTGTGCCTCCGCCAGGATTATATGCATTAGAATTATATTTACTCAATTCTTTCTTCTCGCTCCTGGTAAACAATTCCGGCAAAAGTGTCCGCTTCGGCGTTCTCTCCACCTGTGCTTCAATGAGCTGCAACAAGAAGCGCAAATTTTAATTTCGATCTATTAGACCTTGTTTATCCAATTTTTAAACTTACATTTGAGCCACTTGCGGTTGTTAAAGGTAAAAAATCATTTTTATTAGTTTCGCTTACGAAAATTACTGAATCGTCTTCGGATACACTTGGCTCACGCACTTTCAGTGTGCTATCATCTGTTTTGTCTTTAACACTCGAGTCATCAAGTATTGTAATGGTACTAGCTATCGTGTTATTATTAATCAACTTAGCTTCGTGATCCTTTAACGATTCTGTATTTCGTTTCTCTTTTGACTCTTCCGTAAGCACGCTTAACGTTTTATAAATGAGAGGGGGAGTAAAAACCAGATCACCGGCGATATCTTCAAAAAATGGCGAGGCATCGTTTTCCAAACATTCAATTAAATTGAGGTTTTTCGACTGTGGAAATGTTTGAGTAGACATTTTTTGCGGTCCCTTTTGTAAAGGAGTCGACGTAGGCTTCTGACGAAAGGATATCAATAAATTCTGATATTCGGACCTTAATTCATCATCGGAAGCGTCTGCATCATCAATAACAATTTCTTCTATGTCAGGTTCTATGCAAATACAGTCGTCATCATCTTCAACCATATTTTTCTTTGCATTTGATCGGTGAATTAAGTTAAAGTTTTCTTCAGCGCAATTTATGTTAACAGGATTTGCTAGAATTTGAAAACTATTTTTCTTGTTTAACAATTTCTGCCCTCTCTTTTTCTTCGAGCGTTTTTTTGATTGTTTTTTGCTTTTTCTTTTCGGGTGACGTTTCTTTTCATTGATACTGTCAAGGGCTCTTTGCAAGATGGTTCTATTGCGTCTCTATTTTAATAAATATAACAAGTATTTTTTTTGTATTATTTATTATTTTTCAAAAATTTATTTAAATATATATTTCTTATAGTCGTACATACTGTGAGATTTTCCTCTCTCCGTTTCTGTTTTAGATTGTTCCAAATTTCCTGTTTAGATTGTTTGCTGGTCGACGGTAGATCATCACAATTAAACTTACACGAAAGAGAAGAATAAAATGAAAATAAAAATGGAAATAGGAAAAAAGTAAATCCTTTAATATAATTTATAAGAAAATGCATTTTGAAATGAATAAAAAATTGCGAAAAGACGAGAAAAACAAATTTAAATCAAAACCAATACGTATTGAAATTTTCGAAAAGTAATTATTTTGTTTATGTTGCGTTTATTTTTATATATATTTTTATATATAAAAATAATATTAAATATATAAAAATAATATAATTATATATATTTTTGTTCATTTTTAGCGAATTAGCATTCACCGAATTCATCTAATTTTCCTCTAAATGGGAGTCATCAACTTGTCACGTTGATGCGATTTCCGCAAACGGGTATATTTTTACTTTTTAGTTAGAGCTCGTCTTACGTATCGACATGTTTTTGGTCCAAGACAAACGAAACTGAGAATGTTTCGGTTCGAATCACATTTTAGATCACTGTGCTTATAACGCGTTATTTTGAAAAGTCCTCATATAAATAATAGCATTAAACGGAATGGTGTAGTGCATTTAATATGTGAACACTATAGTGTTTTTACTCTTTGTGTGGCTCAATTCACTGTTATTTTCGATTTTCATTGAGAAATATTAAAAATGTTACATACTAAAAACACCGGACAAGTAGACTTAAATTGATTCAAAATCATTTTATTATTTCTTATTGATACACCTTAAGAGATTAAGAGTCTACCTGAAGTAGTTCTAGATGTTGCATACATTTTTTATTGTAAGTATATCGTAGTCAATTTTTTGTAGGTGTGAGATTAGGGACTACAATTCCTTTGCGAGACGATTTGCAATGACCACATTAATGTAAATATATATTCGTTATCAATACTGAATTTTGAATCGATCAAGATATATCTCCCCAAAGCTTTTTGGTTGTTTTTTCAAATTTGGCAAAAATACTTGATATTCCTGCACGCAGGTTGGTACTGCAAACGATCAAATTGGTCAAAGGATGTTCGCGCATTACAATATAAACAAAGAGAATTCTCTTACTCTTAAGTCGGGCGCATGCATAAAAATTTCCACGTACCATTTATAGGTAATCCTATAGCTAGTAGAAACTGGTCAAGCCTACCTTGTAGTATAAAGTATCGAAATTCCATTCTTTTATTTCCTTTTTTGCTAAGATAACAGTGGCGAACCGGTATATATTACATTCGCTATTATCTTTATAAAAAAAAAACGAATGAAAGCATTAGAGTGGACAAGGGCCCATCATTGAATGCCCCGAATCAGTTCGCTTAACAGGCTATTATAAGACACCACTTTTCCAATAGCATTCGTTCTTGGGCAAAAACAAGTCGATGTATCAAATTTCATCAAAGTATTTGAGAATTCGCGGCCAGTAGGTTGAGCACAAAAATACAGGACAAACGGAGAAACGGGCAATCTTAGACTCATTATCTGACTTAATCGATATAATAAATGGCACATATTTCTGAAGTTCTCCTGAGTGTTGTATACGTTCACACAAGTAGCGTAAGCTATAAACGTAATAACGAAATAAAAAGTTTGAAATCCGATACTCATATATAATATTATAGAAATATAAGAGATGCGCCTATAAAGAGCCAGGTCAAGTGAGAAATGCGCAATAAATAGAATGATAATTGAACAAATAAAATATATTATTTTATGTCTTAAAAAGAAAAAAAATAATAATCGTTGTAAATTTTGAAATTTAAATTTGTTTTCCATTACTTACCTGCTAAAGCATTCATTTTCCTTGTTTCATCATAAATTGCGAAATAAAAATTGACAATTTCTTTTTTTATCAACAAATTTTATTGAAAATCAATCTGTATAAATTCCATATACAAGGCTATTGTAAAAAGGAATAAGAAAACTTTGTTCGTCTTCGGTAGAACATTAAACAACAACTACCATCAATACCTAAGTCATTTATATCAATCATCAAATATGATAGCGTTTATTTTTCAAACTTATTCTGCATATACGTGTGTGTGTGTATGTGTGTATGGCATACACATTTTAAAATTGGAAATAAGTAGTGGGGAAAATGTGACAAAATAACGGTGATAAATGAGAAGAAAAAAAACGTATTCATTTTGAAGCTTGGAAATGCTTGGAAAACAAAATTAAGCAAAGATAATGAAAACTAAACAAGCAACTGAGTAGCAAGATTAGCCGAATAGGTAAGAATCGAGGCTACTAACTCTGCTTTTGCGGATTCAGATTTCAATGCGTCTGGTAGAGTCTTTTTTTGGTCGTAATTACAGCGAGGGCTTAATCGGTAAAGGTAATAACACTTACCGATTGGGCACAAAGCCACTATGGCTGCGGCCGCTTGCCTATCGCTCTTTTTCTTTCCGACCGTCACGAATAGGGGGACATCCCCTGAGTGATTGGTCATATAATAAAAATAAATAAATTAATTGATAGAATTATGCTTGTACGCCTAGATGTTCCTCATGTTATTTATGATAAGGCTAGTATACCCATATTCTGGCGGAAATAAAAGGAAATCCCAAGCATAACAGTATCTCTACTTAGTCTTCATGATTTTTGGATTTAAAAGGTTTAGCAAGACCTATTAATTTAACTCTTTTAATTCTCGTTCAATATTATCGCGAGCAGCTTTCGCATATTTGGCACTGAATTCTTCAGTTTTATAAATATCTAAAGCCAATAAAGCATTTAAAGTCTACAAAAAGATAATGAAGGTTTATTAAAAGATTTATTTAATTTATTATTTACGATTATACTTTACCTTACGTCTTAAAATATTGTAATTACATTCACTTAAAACAGTCCATTCCTGTCGTGAAAGCTCAGCGTAACGTTTGTACACATCAGCAGGAGCTCTATATTTAAATAAATCAAATCAAAAAGATGCCCCAAGCACAACGTAGCGACTTACGCTAATATAATTAAGTCCAAATCTTGGAGAATGGCTGCATCTTCTTCCACAGTCGTTAACATAGGAGAAGTAACTTTTTCCCCTAATAGCCAACATATTGAAAATTTTATTTGTTCCTTTTATGTGCGTGCGTGTGGGCAAGAAAGAAAAAATATCATTAATCCTTTATGTAAAATTTTGAATACTTACATCTTCAAGCATGGCATCTTGACAAAATTCACGAAACACTTGACAATTTTTTTCTACACAAGCTTTCTCCAAATCGAATTCATAATATTGGAAGAATGCAGCTAAGACTATATGGGGTTTACAAAATTGTAGTTCATCGCGTTTATGCATTAGCATATCCGACCAATTATGATAGACACGATTAGTGCCACTTTCACTGAGTTTTAGGCGTATGCGGTCATACCATGAGCGTATAGTGTCTTCAGGTATATCATAATGATTACAGGCTTTACACCAAATTTCATATAAATCCTTATTATTGGCCATTTACTTAAGTAGGAAGATTAGCTTAAATTCTATTAAAATATTATTTAAAACTTATTTTAGGCAAAATTCTGACTGCATGAGTCAAAAAGTTTGCCATTTATTTTACTGGGTTTCAGGCGAGGGTTGATTTTATTTGTTATCACTACTCAGAATGCTGAGATGATTGAAATAATGTTAATGCTAGAAAGTGAGACGAGAGAAAGTGAAAGCTTGAAAGTTTTTGGTACGTGATAGGGTTGCCTCTGTAAGCCCGAAGACTCGTGAGAAAGTAGACGTAGTAAGTCTTATTAATTGCCAGCTCATTTGTGTTAATGGAATTGCGGTTATAAATATCAAGCTTTATTTTACAAATTGTTCATTACAGCTGTTACTCGACAATTTAAAGCATGAAGACAAATACAGCTTTTTGTTATATGCCATACATGACTTCTGGTACAAGAATGTATTAAATTTGTGTGAATGCATGCAACAACCAGAAAGACTTTAGATAGACTCACCTTCTATTGTACCAATGGATTCAGAATTAATTTCTGAGTGAACCACAACCGCAACATGGACATGCTTTAGCCCAAGGGCGAGCGTTGTTACAAGTGGTTCGGAATCATTTCCCATACAACACATTATTTTCAAACGTCGATATATGAATAATTGTAGGACACAGTATAGGATGTAGGATTTAATGATGGGCCACTACATTGTTATACTTGCTTTCAATGTTTTTTTAAAGGGATCACATATGTATGAACTGTAATTAGCAAAGCTATGATCGATTTGGATAGATTGGTTTCTTAAATTCAAAACAAAGTATGACAATTGCTGGTGGTCGGATCGAAAGCATTTTTGCACTACTAAAGTTTCCTTCTCTTGTAATTTAATAGCTATTTATGATATTATTATAACCTTTTCGTTATAAGAAGTATTTTAGAGATCATCGATTGCGCTCGTATGCATAACTCACAGATGCTAAGAACAAGTTTTTTACTAGTTGCGGCCATGTTAGTGGTTGGATCGATATAATTTTTGCGTCATTAAGCTAACGCGCTCAGAAATATTTCTACTGGTTTCCGTCTTTTTGTAGTTTAGTTTCTTTTTATCCGTTTTTAAGAGTTCTTTAGACCTCCTCAAATTGATTCAATTGATTCTGCCTGCTGCTCCAATGTGAGCTTATTAAGAATATTTGGTTTATCATATATAGGAAGAATCGTAATTATGTGTGCGGGTAATAGTTGAACAAATTAAATCACATGCTAAACATAAAAATATCATACCGTTTCAAACGGCCGATTACAACTTTAACAACAATGTCTTTAATAGTAAAAAAAAATTTTTTTTTTTGGATGCTGAGATTAAGTTGACTAAGCTAATAACTTCAACTTATTCTATAGAAAAAATTTAAGTCCAAAGAATTTACAAAGAAATGCGACTTTTTGAAGTGCATCTAACTTACATTTTGGTCAGTTAGCGTCAAATTATCCGCATCAATATCCATGCTATCTATAAAGTCATGTGCTTTTTCGCGCTTTTGGTGAGTATTCTTTAAATATATTTATTTTTATTATATTAACTATTTTATATTGTTTTCTTTTTCTTGGTTAGATTATTTCGAGTGCCTATTCCGTATTTTATATAAAAGTCTTTCAAAGATTATCAACAAAGATGAAAATATTCACGTTTCACACAAATTCACAATTATGAAGTAAATAACAAGAGCATTGCCATACAGAAATTATATATGTCATAAAATATAATTAAATATTCATAAATTTTGATAATAATATTCATTTTTTGAAGACTTGGAAACTCTAGCTTTAGGTAAATAAAATGCAATTTTTATTACAAAATATTTAGGAAAGTTGAGAGAAGATATTAAAGCTGATTTACGAAGATATTTGAAACAATTGTTTATAAATAATATATACATTACAACAAATGTTACGTAGGTGAAATTCTTTTTGAATACAGAGAAGACGAGCGGGCAACAAGTGGTGGACAATTCCCTTTTGTTTATTTGATCAAAAGAAGTTATTGCGAATTTCCCGTAAAATTTTGTAAAGCGTAAGTAAATACATAAATCATATAAAATTATATATAAGCAATTTATTTGTATTCATTTTCGTCATTTTTCCAGTGGATACATTACGATTTGACGACGAGGAAGTGATGGATTTGTGGAGTATTTTTTTATTCTTTGTTATTTGTTTTCTCCTAATGAGTTGCTGTGGGTATTGTTGTACAAAAAAACGTAGGGGAGCTGTCTTATCAGGTAAGTGATAAGATTACGGATTTGATGGAACTGGAAAATGTAATGATTGTTGTAAATCTAATGCTCCAATTATAAACCAAAAAAAAAAAAAAGTTCTACGAAAATTTTATGCATGAGAATTTTTGTTCATTAGCTTTCGCAAAAGTTGTGCTTCATTTCTTTGAATTGATTTTCTGACTCATTACAAAAACAATTGTCAATATATACAAACATATATCAATGCGCGCGTACGTTATCCAAGAGATATTAAAAATCTACACGAAGTAATTTGATCAACAAGCAAAAGTATGTCCGAAAAGCTTTTTAAATAACGTTTTTTTTGACGTCTTAATTTCATTGTTGTTATGCGATCAGTTCTTTCTAAACATGATCAGCTATTGACTTGCAATATTAAGAGCAGAAGGACGGGCAAGAAATCATAGCGCTTCATTTAATTTCCTCACTTCAATTGAACTAATTATAACTGGCTCTTTTTTTTCATGCCTACCACCAGGAATTGATTGCAAAAAGAAATACCTTAAGCAGTTTAGGTCAAATACTAGTCTCTTTTAATAGTTAACGATTTAATAAATCGGTGGTTGTTTTCGTTTTTTTAATTGTTTTGAACGAACTTAAAGAAGGAGTTCAGGAGGAGAAGTCTGCTCTCTAGAGGAGGCCAGATTTTAATTTTCAATTTAAATTTTTGTGGTTTTGCAAATTTAAGTAGACAAATGGAGTAAGAGCTTGGTAGACGAATCGATTTATAATCTGATCAGTCCAAGGAGTATACGATTGAAAGTCAAACAAAAATTTAAAAAAGTTTTATAAGCTGTGTAACGGACAACGGCAATTGAGTCTCCTCGAGGCATTTGCCTTTGTGCCTAAAGAAAGACATTCAGTTTTTGTCAAGAGGATTGTTTGTGTATGTAAAAGTAAGCAAATTTCATTGAAAGAACAAAGCATTGTCTGCCAAGCTCCTAAAAGGGGTATAATAATGACTGTGACCACATGTGTTCATCCGAATTGCGCCAACTGCCGGCGTATGCGATATAAAAATATAATGCAAATATTGCGTTGGATATGTGTGTGATTTAAGTGAAATCGCATATTTCACAAAATGGCGAAATTTGAGATCTTTGAATTCTATTACACTTGAAACTTCGAGAGATCGAGTGTCTGCTTCCCCATGCATACACGTAGATGGGAATTTTCATATGATCTTCTAAAAATCGCTTTAACACCTAATGTAATTTTCTTTTCTTTATTGAAAATTATTGATTTCCTTTTTTAGAGATCATACAATACTAATATATATAACATAACAAGGCGTATAGTAGAACAATATAGGTCGCATTTATCTTTCTGTTAAAATTACGATAACCATCTGAAAATGAAGTCTGATAAAACAAAACAATCTGTAAATTTTTTTTTATTTTAAATTTAAAGTTTATAAACTTACTAAATTAGTCCAATGATTCGTCTACAATTACCAAAGCTTTTTATACTTGCCAACGAATGCTGAGGTGTATATTCATTTTGTCGAAACGTTTGCAACGTCCACAAGGAAGCTTCAGAGACTCCACGAAGTATATGTATATATATTCTTGATCAACATCAAATTTTGAATCAGTTTAAGAATGTTCCCCTGTCTGTCAGCGTAATGTCTGTTGTAAATATTGTCCTGACCGCAGAAGTGAACCTATCAGCTTTAAATTTAGCAGAAACATTGGAAGTTCCTGTAGGCAGATTGATATTGGAAGTGGCCAAATCGATCGAACAATACAGCCACAGTGCCGCGTAAACTGAACACATCACAGTTTTCTTAAAAAAATGAAAAATTGGTTTTCCACTCATCACAAAAAGCTATATCAGATAAATGGATAAAATTGACCACGTCTACCCAATATTATAGTATACAGAAATTGAGTTTTTTTTCAATAAGCAGAAACAAGCTTGAAAACTTGGCCATTCTCAAATTTGGAATGTCCGTGTGTCCAACGGTGTAGTACCTGTGATAGATATTCCCACGTTCGCAATAATGAAAATATCATCTATAAATTTGCAAAAGAATTTGAAAGTGACCTGAAATGTTTAAAGGACACGCCTGCAAAGCCCAAATGCATATGCAACAATAACTGCGAAAACTTTTTTTGTTTTCCATTTTTTTACACCATATGCACGATATAAACTTTCACGTTTATTCTGAAAATAGAAGAAATCAGTCGCGATCGAATACAATTTTCTTACTTGTTTATTGTCAAAGAATATAAGATTTCATCCAAATATCTTAAAACGTATATGCTGTCTATATCTGTCGTGTCTGCCTGCAGAAAACTTTTAATTGCATTAAATCTTAGGGCAACTCAAAAGTGCCATCTTAGAAGGATTGGCGGTGTATGGCACTGATTTACGTGCCTTTGCTGAGCTAACTAGTTCGTAAGATGATGGAGGAGTGTTATAAACCTGGCCCACTGCAACCACCTAATCTGTTATCTTTAGCGAACACACGCACGGACGTAACCTAATCTAACGAACGGGCATCCGTTGTGCCCCTGGGCCTTTCTAAACCGCACTGCCTAGGGTCTACTTCGGTTCATGATGTTCATGGGACCGACATCACATATGCCAGACATGCTTATATCAAGCGCGAAAAGAATTCTTAAGTAATTAATGCAGTAAGAAGTGGAAATATCTCTTTGCACACATTCGCATCAATTTAATATATCCTTACCATCGTTTTATACGATTTCAAACAACCTAATATATTTACAATCATGAATGTGAAAAGCAAATATGAACGTTCAGAAGCTCTTTCGCATTGGAACTTGTTATACACCGTTCTTACATGTAAACTATTCGCAATATTACAAACAAATATTTGTAAGTAGGCCAAGTTTTGTGATTAAAATTTTACGTTCATAGTTGCGCTATATAAATGATGGCATAAACGCAGGAGTAGACATTAAAATGTATCTACATGTTTATGTCGTACTTCAGTACAGTGTATGTAACAACCAGAAGAACGTAAAATAAACTTAAATTCGAATCATTTTCTATTTCGATTTAGGCTTGTCCGTCTCTCCGTCTTATGCCCACAAGTAATAATTTCTGAAAGATTTTAATAAAATATATTATACCGATGTGCTCCAGCGCAAGCGCATTGAAAATTAAATTGGATCACCTTTGCCACCACTCCCCATATAATGCCTTATTTAGAAAAAGTCGTTATATGATGAGAAAAATTTCTCGAAAAAAAAAATTGCTAAGCGATAATATTACTGCATTCCGAGTTGGTATCAAAAATTTGGAACGGGCAAGTCAATTTTTTGACCTTCCCCCTCCCAACACCAGCAAATTAATCGTTACGTCTACTTGCTAATAGTTCATAGTGAAAACTTGCTTACCATTGTAATTTGACCAAATTTGGAACTTTGATTTATTTTTGTACCCCACATCATCTAAGGGTCTTCATAAAGACATAAAGTAAAGTTATATGACAAAAAGGTTTAATTTTTATTGGTTCATAGTGAAAATCTCTCTACTACTGTGCTCTGGCCTATCAATTAACTGTATCGATTATGGTCCCATTTAGGGTGATTTTTTTCACCTCATCTAAGAATTCTCCAGAAAAGTAAATTTTTATATGGCAAAAAGGTTGATTTTTCTAATGGTTGGTCTGGCCGGAATATGAAGTTTTTACATATGATTGCGTTGTGCTTTGTAGTAAGCAGATCCATTTGCTTGTTTCCTCATTATCTTTTGAAACACAAATTGTCCTCATTCTAGATTATTGGAATAAAAAAAATCGATAATTCATTGCACCAGAACTGAGAACAAATTTTTTTAGGAAATAAGCAAAGAGACGCCATGTGTATGGTCCGAAAGTGTTTGGCTGATTCTGTGGCATAATTTGCCGACAGTTGTACTTGGGAGCAAGTTTGTTGTTCTCCCTCACTCTACACTTGAGACATTATTCGGAATTCGTTTAGATAGCTTACAAAAAAATTCGCTTACTTTCAAAGTAAACAACAATTTCTTATATATATATATAT